AATAAAAGTCTTTCTTCTGCTTTAATTATTTTAGTCTAATTGATCATAAATGTTCAAGTTACATACAAATTTTTCATATCTTTACAGCCACATAAAATTTTCAAAAATGCAGCTCATGTTACTTTAAACATGTTAAAATATTGTTTTCTTTTAGCTGTTTAGATCAACTCAATCAGCTAAATATGACATTCGTTTCCTTCTGGATAAAGATTCATACTCATCAGTCAGGGGCATAACTTAAACAAAATATTTTTAAAAATAACTCAAATGAGTTATTTTTTTGTCTCAATCAGTTACTTCTCTTTGCTATGACCTACTTTTTCCAAACCTTAATAACTCAAACACGTTATTTTTCCAAAATAGCTTCAATAAATAAATAACTTGTTTAAGTTATTTTGTGTCATTTCTCCCTAACTTCACACCCCGTGCACCAAAGGATTTTGCTCGTGCACCAAGACAAAAACAAATGTTTGACTAAATATTTATAAACATTGCTCAATGCAGAAAAAGTGTTCAAAGTCTTGGGAAAAGTGCGGAATTTTTTTTATTTAATGATTAAAATTAGACATATACACCATGTGGATAAAACCACAAAATAAGGAGTAAAATGCTGTTTATCTCCACCTCCTCACCAATTCTCCATTGGAGTTGGTGAACTCCATCTAGTATTACATAATGGAATCCCAAAATGCAATGCAAAATGGCAGGAAACATGAAATTTCCAAGAAATCAATGTCCAAGTAGGAATTAAAAATAACTTATTTATTTTTAAAAAAAAAAAATTTGTGTGTGAAATAATGTAAAATAACTCATTTGAGTTATTTTTTAAAATAACTTGTTTGAGTTATGCCCCTGACTGCTCATAGTATGGGCAAAGTATACTCAAAAATAAATGCATAAAATTGTCAACTTGAAACATTCTGTACAGATTTTCAAATTTCTAAAACACATCACATTTTTCTAAGCAAATCATTTTGAGTATCGTGTGTTCTTACTAATGATTTAATTTGTGATTTACCATTAATATTATCTAAACATAGCAAATCTCAATCCCATTCATGGAAATCAGAGAAATTTATTTCACATATAAAGAAATGCAAAAACAAACATTAATCATGTTAATGAATGGCATACAGTTTCAGGTTTATCAACAACATTGGATTTATTCCACATTATTCCCAATTCAAAAACATACACTGCGATACAGTATACATTAGTTAAATGGAATTACAGATTGGCATAAGTTTGTAAGTCCACAGCATACAGTAACAATTTTGTCTACCACTGGAACCTGGTTTTCTTCAGAAGTCACTAAAAAGTCAACTGGCATAGTATCGGTAACTATCATATACTTATTTCGCAATAGTCCAATAACTCTCTCAACATGGATGCGGACATGGGCAATTTTGCGAGTGTTTTCAATTTCTCTAGCAGAAAGTTGAGTTTTTCCCTTCGTAAAATTTGGGATTTTCACTTCAGCACACACAAGTCCCACACTCTCATGGATGTCAAAGCCCCTGTCTGCAAGAACAATATCTCCTGGTAAAAGTTTATTTAAAAAGCCACTGTGGTCGGTTATGTGTTTGTCGCTCGTTCTACCTCCCCATGCTTCCGATATAAAAGATATGCATCCCTGAGGTGTTATACCTATCAAATATTTAACAGTGTTATGGTGCTTGTATGACGACCATGTAGCAGCTCGTGCAAGTAAATTGGATGGTCTTTCTATGAAAATCTCGAAACAGTCAATCACAACAGCCACTTTAAGGCCAAAGTATTTTCGAAACTCCATTGGCATAGTTTTTCGCAGCTCCTCCCTGGTTGGCCAATAGATGAAGTCTTTCAACTGAACATATAACACATGGAGGGTTGTAAGAAAAATTCTTGACACTGTTGATGTTCCAATTTGGAAACGGTATGCAAGATCTTGCACTGGTGCATTAAGTCTAAGTCGAATCAAAACCAGTATAAATTTTTGGAATTTTGTGACTGAAATCCTTGGACTGTCTGGTATGTAAGGTTCAATAAAATTGAAAAGGGCCATGAGAGTGATGAAACTAGGTAACCCTGTGTAGTAACTCACTTTTCTGTCATCTCCAGAAAATGTATCTACATTGAAAGTTCTGACACTGTTAATTTGCAATTTCAAAGATGAGTTTTCACAAATGAGTTGCTTACATTCTTCTTTTATTTTCATTAAGAAGTCTTGCCGATCATTGGAATTCTTCAAGGTACATTCTGTGCCACTGGTTTCATTTTCTAATCTTCCCTTGAATATAAAAGCACACACTGGGTTCGACCGTGGCTGGGCGTACTCTGGATGTTCAATAATCGATGCTGAGGTAGCTGCCTCCTGTAATTTCTTTGATTCCAAACGTTTCTTTAACCTTTCATGGCGCTCCATTCTCCCCTCTGGGCATTGCTGGTCTTTCGTATTCATATTGAAAGATGGGGCCCAGTCTGGGTTTGCAAAATCATATAGGTCTGCTCTTTCACCTAAAATGAATTCAATAAAAGACGTAAGTAAATTTAAAGTGCATTACACACAGTATCTTCGGTTATAAATATCACACGCTTTTAGAGTGTAATAATTTAGTGAACGGGGGTCCAATGAACAGTGCACATCTGAACTAAACAAATAAATCATCAATGCTCTGACATCTTTTTTAATGAGCATAAAAAATAGAAACACATAGGGCCTATTGTACCTGATATGAAATGATCTGAGCAGACTTTAGAATATTTGGATGGTTGGAAGTCTTTCCGATATATACGCGCAATCCATAACATACGTCTTTGTTCACTAAGTTCTTTAGTTCTCTCGCCTTCTGTCGTACGCACTGCAGGAATGGTGAAGAATTTCCGTTTCTCGGGATCATCTGACCTGTTTCTACACCCGTGAACAACACATGTATGAACCATTGTCTCGGTTACATAATTTTCCCTTAAATAATCTGGATTAATTACATCTCGCCTCGGGGGGTATGGTATAACAAAAATTCTGGTTGTAAACACAGCTTGACCCACAAAATGGCGCCTGAGCGAAACTTCCGGTAGCATGACGTCATATGAAAACTATCTATAACAAAGGGAAGTCACTCTATAACTTTCATGCACTTCCGGTTTAGGATTGACAGAGAAACAGATACACGTGCTTGCATTTTCGTCAATCATTGTGATCAGATATGTCGAGATTGATAGTGAAAAATTTACCCAAAAAGGTAGGCCTATTTAAATGTGGAAAAATCACCTGATATATGCAACTTTGCATGACATACTTGGAAATTTGAATGCTTGTATCACCTATCTCAGAGTCAGAGACAATTAAATGGATTATAAATAATGTCTGGTTTTCTATATGATTTTGTATAATTCATTGTTTATGATTATACTATATGCAGTAGAATAACACGTCGTTTGTGATAAAACTAAAACTCTATTATATATTTTGTACATTTTTTTCAGAGTTTGGAGAGTGATCCATTTTAAAATGTTTACTGTGTACATAACATGATTTGAAGAATTCAGCATATAACAACAGCTGTTACACTTACTTGTAGAATTAGAAATGTTTTATTTATCTTTTCCTATCAGATCAAAGAAGAGAGAGTGCGTTCGATATTTGGTTCAGTCGGAACGCTGACAGATTGTTCTCTGAAGTACACCAAAGATGGTGTGTTTAGGAACTTTGCATTCATAGGATATTCCTCTGAAGCAGAGGCTGACCAGGCTATTAAACAACTCAACAAAACCTTCATCAATGCTAGCAGAATTAGTGTAAGTTTAAAAATAAAAAATGATTTCATTTAAAGACTGAGGTAAACTGTTAATCTATACTTTTGTCCAAAATAAATGTGCATATTAATTATAAAGAGAGAATTTGTATATTTTAATCTAAAATGAATTTATCTAAATACAGAGTAAAACTGTTCATACATTTAGTCCATTGCCAAGATAAAAGAGATTTTACATACATGTAATTGTATCAATTCATAAACATGATCATGGTTTTGAGATGGCATCATCTCATGACGATGAGGTGATGCCAAAACAAGAGGCTGTAGAGGAGGGAGACAATGAAATCATGGCAGTTTGAGTTTTCTGTCATTACATGTCACAGGTTGAGAAGGCGAAGGATTTCAGTGACGTGAGTAAACCAAGAGCTTGGAGCAAATATTCTAGTGACAGCTCCGCATTCCAGAAGAAACACAAAGGGACTGAGGACCAACAGAGCGATAATGCCAAGGTAGTCAATGACTAATAAATGAAGATAAACTGTGTGACTTTCCGTTGTGGCTTAACTTAATTTATAAAATGTACTTTTCATGAGATGGTTTATATTGGGCTGATATGCTATTATAATATAATCAAGATATTTTTTATTCACTTTACATTTCTTTATGTATTGAGACATCTTTTTAGAGATTTTAATTTATGTCAAATGGGAGCTAATACTAACTGAAGTATTCAGATAAATAAACTTTCAGTAAGAATTCTAAGAAAATGCCATATGTATGGAGTAATCCAATAGAAACTGAAAAACTAAAATAATGATAAAACAACTAACTCACTCTGAAAATTGTCGGTTGGCATCTGCAAATGATTTTTTTTTAGTTTTTTCAAACTTAATTGTTACCTTCATTTTATGTAGAATATTGAGAAAAAAGAAAAGAAGAAAAAATCCAGAGAGAAAGTGGTGGCTGAGATGTTAGGAGAGGTAAACTTTAAATGTTTCCTGGCAGTGGATGGAGTACATTTAAATATTTCATAAATGATCTAAGTAATGGCAATGTGTTTTTGTTGGTCAAGTAAGTGTTATAAACCTCAATAAACCTGTATTTTTAAAGTTGAAAGATGATCCTAAGTTTGAAGAATTTGTACAAGCCCACCAGAGAAGTAGCAACAAGTCTTTGTGGGCAAACGATGAGGTGATGCCAAAACAAGAGGCTGTAGAGGAGGGAGACAGAATGGAGGGAGAGGAGAGGAAGAGAACTGAAGATGACAAGGAGGATAATGAGGAAGGCAAGGACATCGATGAAGATTTGGAGGAAGAGGATATTAAAGGTGTGAAATCAAAGCAGTATACAAAAACAATCTTATGTTGTTTGAAGGATTACAATATATTACATTAATATGTATAAACAGTGATTTTGAATTTGATGAATAATTTGGAATAAATGAAGCCTTGAATTTTAATGTTTTCTTTTCAGAAGATAAGGATAAACTGGCAACGAAGAAGAATGTAACTGATTTGGATGTAAGGATTATAGAGTCTATATTTTTACACCTAGAATTCTTAACATATTTAGTATATAAATGTATTTTCTCTGATTATAGAAGTTGAAAAAGTAACATAAGATTAGATTAGCAAGTTGGCAGTTAGAATACATTAAGTCAACTTTATTCCATGAGGTTAAGTAAGATTAATTAAGTTAATATATTTCCTGTATATTGTAATTTACGAATTCCTACCCCTGTAATGTTTTAGTACTTGAGATCTAAAGTATCCAGTCAGGCCGTGTTTGATGACAGCAGCTCAGACTCCGAGGAGGAAGATCCCGAGACGAAAACCACGAAAACGAAGCTGACAGACAAACAGGTCGAGGTCAGAAATAGAGACAGAATTCACTCAGTTAAAGATGAGAAAAGACGTACCACTAATTGAGATAAGCATTGTCTAATTGAAGTTCCATTATTTTTTATTTTTTTGCATTTAGCCTGTCAAAACAGAACAGAAATACATGCTGAAAATGCGGAACCTGCCTGTTTCATCTGGTGAGGTAATTATGGAATTTAGTTTTAAGTTCACAATAGGGGATTCAATATATGGTTTTATTTGGAACTTTTAACATTTTGGAAATCAAGTAAAGAATTCAAGGTTGCATGAACGAATGTTCTGAAATAAACGAAAAAAATCTTGCAAAGAAGATGTACTAATGGAGAAACACATTTCAGATAATGGGTTATTTTAGTGGTTAGGCTGGTGACAAGGTTTAATTTTAAAATTTCCTAGAAAGTTGGGTGAAAGGAGTGAGCTGATAAATATGTGTGTGTGTTGAGACCTCATAAGAAACTTTTAAATTGTTCTTGGACTACACTTATATGTTCAGTTACATACATGTACATATAACTAGTCAATATTTTCCATGTACAGGTATCACCACAAAAATTCTTTTTTGCTTTTTCAGAAGGCAATCAGAGAGTTTTTTAAACCAATTATTATTAAGGATATACGTTTGCCCCAAAACAACCAGAAGAAGCCTATAGGTGAGTACATTTTGCATTTAGGAAATTGTAAATATAAACTGTGCTGTAAGTAGGGAGGGGATTGGACTGACTTAGACATACATTATACATGAAATTGCAAATGAAGAATCATGTTATTAACCTATTATGACAGGAAAGAGGTTTTGAATCTTAAATAAAGGATTCAGGAATGATGGTCATCATGTAGTTGTATACTTTAGTTGCTAAATGGGTTGATATTTCATGCAATTCCCCGGAAATCTTTAATGGTTGTATATGTTACAGTATGGCCAATGATTTTTGTTTTCATTTATCAGATTAATTTTGTCCATTTCATAGCAGGAATACCTATCTAAATTGTTTTCATGTATTTATGGAAATTCTTCATTATCAATAGGACCTCTGAAGGGTATCCTTGAATGTATAAAAATAAATTGAATTCTCTTTTTCAGGAGTAGCCTATGTGGACTTTTCCTCAGAAAAAGATCTAAATGATGCCATGAGAAGAAACAAGAACTATATTAGTAAGGCTTTATAATATGTGGTAAATAAAAGTCATTGCATACCGGTAGGTTTTAAGTTATCTCAAAAATCGCAAAAAATGATTGATATATAAAATGATTGTCTTCTGTTTTCATCATGAGAAACACATGCTTTAAGGAAACAGTCTTTATCATCTTAAAAGAAAGAAGAAAAAAAAGGAATGGTGGTTAGTTATGATATCTACACAATAAATATTTCAGAAAGTAAAAGAGTTTACTTGAAAAAATGTGAGACAGGGGACATAACTCAGCCCAAAGAGGAAGAAAAGGAGAAACAGAATGATACACAGTCTGCAAATAAAAAGGTACCCTATAGAGAAACACAGAATGTAGACAGGTGTTCCACCAGACTTACAGATTTACATATGTAGGTAGTAAACTCTTAACATCTGTTTTATAGAAGTGGGAAGAACATGAAGCTCAGATGGACAGTGTTGCAGAGGTAAGAACAGAACAAACTTAGATCAGTGACCTCTTGATGAAAATGTGTAATACAATGTAGTATTAAATAAAAGGAAAAGAACTACAAATCATTGTAATATTGTAAATCAGGTTTTTAAATCAAAGGGAAAATATTACAGGGGTAGAAACTCCTTAAAATTACAACTCGGAATAATTGCAAGTACCAAAAATATGAACTCGCAATTTCAAAAGACAACTCGCAATTTCAAGCTTTTTGAAAATAAACCGTCATCTATCAATCTTTTTAAAAACTTCTTAATTTTCCACATGATCATCGGATTTGGCACATGCTTGTTCATTTAAAATTGGCAGATATAAACAGAAACTAAAGAGAGAAAGATTAATTTGGATTGAAATGGGTTTTTTTTCAAGGGTGAAATTTACACTTAAAAAATCAACTTGCAAATTTTTGGGAGTTAAAAAATTTTTAACTCTCAATTTTGATAATCTAACTCGCGTTTTGCCGTATGAATTACTGAAAGTGCATTTGAATGTAGAATTTATTAAAGATTTTATTTTATACATTAACTTGTATTTATGAATTATATATTCAGATATTGATTTATATGAGGGTTCAATGATGGAATTTTTACTTTATGCAGACAGGGAGACTGTTTGTTAGAAATTTGCCTTATAGCTGTACACAGGAAGATTTAGAGGAAGTTTTTGGAAAGTTTGGTAAGAAAGTTAGTGAAGTCTTAGTACTGTAGATCACTAATTTTTCGCGACACCTTATTTTCGCGAGATAGTCATTGACTCTTGATTAGCGACACAAAATTTTCACGAATTGTGGTTAAAGCTCTATATATTCTTAAGGAATGCTTTTATACGCGAGAATTAAATTTTAGCGAGCACAGTGTCTCGCATAATTATGCGAAAATAAAGTTCTTGCAAATAAAATTTGATTTACAGCAATTCTTGTACAGGGCATGATGTCACAGAAGCAGTAATTACCATTTGTATTTGTATACTGTTAGGTATTCCTTTATTACAAAGCCAAAATGAAGTCTGTCCTCATGCCCTAATTCTTAATGAAATTAGGATGTGAATGCAAAATTTGCCTTAAGTGAAGTTCTTCCACAAGAGATGTTTTCCAGTGAAAATAAGCGATGTCAGCTTCATGCTTGAAAGAAGTTAAAAACATTGGGTAACTTGCTTTTGTTGATTAGCTTTGTTTTCACCTACAGGACCCCTGGCTGAGGTTCATCTATCCATTGACACTGTCACAAAGAAGATTCGGGGTTATGCCTTTATTTTGTTCATGATGCCAGAGCATGCAGTCCGAGCTTATGAACAACTGGATGGAACGGTGTTCAAGGTTTGTGCTTCTAAGTGCTGCCTTATATTACAAAATTTGATTGATCTTTACAATTTCATTATAGGAATTTCTCCTTGACCTGATTGTTATTCTGCTTGTAAATTTCAGGGCAGGATGCTACATATTATTCCTGGTAAAGAGAAGCTGGATGAGGAAACAGAACACTCAGGTAAAATCAACAAAGAAACTGAAAATAAAATTGAAACTGACAATAATTCAAATCTGTTGTTTATTATAAAGTGACATATTCAAGACTGGAATGATTATGTTCTTGCTTTGTATTTATGAAAAACAATGCATACTGTTCGTTATGATTTATCATATTACACTTAACACGTAGAGACAAATCTTCATTTAGCAAGGTTTCTCTCATTTTGTAGAAGGGTCATCTTTCAAGACTAAAAAAGCTGCAAAGCAGAAAGCTGAGGCAACAAGGTAAAGCTTTCATTCAAATGTTTAAACATCATGGTATATACTGCCACATTAATATCTCATTAAGCTACACTACACTTAATTCATGATAGTTTTAATGAGTATGCCCGGTCTTTCAGCTCCCATAACTGGAATACCTTGTTCCTTGGAGTGAATGCTGTAGCTGATGTAATGGCAGCCAAATACAACACAGAGAAAAGTCACATTTTAGATCCAGTAAGTTCTCATTTCTGATCTTGTTCCTAAACATTTAATCTATCAGTTATGTCAGTAATATAACATTTTTTTCTTATTAAAAAATGCTGATTAATTGCTTTACACTTTAAAGGAAGCACCCCAAAGTCTTGGTGTTAGAATGGCTCTGGGAGAAACTCAGATTGTGGCAGAGACTCGGGACTTTTTAACGGAGAATGGAGTTGTCTTAGACAGTTTTAGTCAGGTTTATTTAACCTTCCATTATCATCTCATCACATCCATGTGTTACATTCATTGATAGATTCTTATTTAGTCAAAATTAGTATGGTTTGTTTGAATAAGAATTTTATTACCGTGTGTATCATAAAATCTTTGGCCTAATTTGCCTGTTTTCTTTATTGATGTCTTTTTATGCTCATGTATATGATGTGACATCAATTAAAATATTCCTCTGATACAATGTGCCTTGAGGCTAAGAGTATAAATTCTCATTACTCCATTCCTAGGCTGCAGCTCCACGTAGTAAGACGGTGATCCTGGTAAAAAATCTGCCAGCTAACACGGACCCTGAAGATCTGCGGACCGTCTTCAGTAAACACGGAGCACTGGGGAGGGTCATTTTACCTCCCTCTGGAATCACTGCCATCGTGGAATACTTAGATCCAACGGAAGCAAAATTAGGATTTAGAAACCTTGCTTACACCAAGGTATACATTCATTTGTTTGATTGAAACAAAATGATAGGCATGCTGAATATATACTGAATAAATGAAACTTGTATTTCTTATTGCTAAAAAACCAGATGTTTATGTGTATAGAAGAAGTAAGATGCACATCAGTTTTGTTTTATTCTTACAGTTTCAGCACGTACCACTGTACCTTGAGTGGGCTCCAATGGAAGTTTTCCGATCATCAGTTGTCAAAACAGAAAAAGAAGACACTTCACAAGATTCAGAAATAGTCAAGGTACATGCTAATTACATGTAACATTTTAGTAACATTTTAAAGTCAAGGTACTTTAAAATCTCTTTTAATCATATGTGTATCAACTTTAATAGTTGACTTCGTGCACTTCACATTTAAGTAAATTGCACTCCTTGATATTAAAATTTTTAATTGAATGATTTTTTCTTTTTTAGCTCACCTCAACAAAGTTGGGGGAGCTTATGTAATACCCTCGGCGTCGGCGTCCTCGTCGGCGTCCCGGGTTAAGGTTAAGTTTTTTGGAGCAGTTTTCTTTTTAAGTACTTCTATGTCCTATATTGATTAGACATGCATGGAAGATGTTTCTAGTGTGTTTCATTGTACCAGTCAAAGTTTCAGATGCTGCAATTTCAGCAAAGGAATGACCAGGTTAATGTTTTTGGAGCAGGTTAACATTTTTGGTGCAGTTTTTGGTGTAGGTCCCATTTAAGTAACTATAAGCCCTATGTTGACCAAACTTGCATGGATGGTACATCTTAGGATGCACACTACCAGGCTTGCTTCGGATGCTGAATCTGACATACATTTTCCGCATGAGTGAACAGGTTTATGTTTTTGGTGCAGGTCTCATTTCCAAGTAACTATGAGCACTATAGTGACCAAACTTGCATGGATGATACATCTAAGGATGCATACTACCAGACTTGCTTCGGATGCTGAATCTGACCTACATTTTCCGGTTGAGTGAACAGGTTAAAGTTTTTGGTGCAGGTTTCATTTCAAAGATACTATGAGCCCTATAATGACCAAACTTGCATGGATCATGGTACATCTTAGGATGCATACTACCAGACTTGCTTTGGATGCTGAATCTGACCTACATTTTCCAGTTGAGTAAATAGCTTAAGGTTTTTGGTGCAGGTTTCATTTCCAAGTTACTATGAGCCCTATAATGACCAAACATGCATACTACCAGACTTGCTTCGGATGCTGAATCTGACCTACATTTTCTGGACGAATGAACAGTTTAAAGTTTTTGGTGCAGGATTCATTTCCAAGTAACTGAGCTCTATGTTGAGCAAACTTGCATGGATGATACATCTTAGGATGCATACTAATAAAACTTGCTTCAGATGCTGAATTCGACATACATTTTCCAGATAATGGACCTCGTAAAAGTTATGGGTGCAGGTCTATTACCAAGAAACTATAAGGCTCATATAAACCAAACTTGCACAAATGATGCATCAAGGGTTGAAAACTCTCAAACTTGCTTCAGATGCTGGATTTTAATTACGTTTTCATGATAGAGAACTAGTTTGAAGTTTTTTATATAGGTCTCTTCCAAAGTATCAAATCAAAATTGCTTAAATTTTGCATTTTTGGATGTACACTTTTTGTTGGTTAATTGTGTGACTTTGCCTTACTTAAAGACAACGTTCGTTGAGGTGAGCTCTGTAATCTTTGATTACCTATGTTTTCTATAACGATTCAAAAATTAATTTCTATTCATTTTAAATAGCAAGTACTAGATTAAAATTTTAAATACTTTCACATACATATTTTCACTTAAAAAAAATTGTAGTAGAGGAATGAAGACAACCTTTCCTTATGAAATTTGGTGATTTAATTGATGATTATTTTGATGACAGAAAGAAGAGAATGAAGAGGAGTCCTCTGATGAAGAAGAAGACGATGGAACCCCAGAACCTGATTCTACTCTCTTTGTGAAAAATCTTAACTTTACAACAACGGAGGAAAGTCTCAGAGAGGTAGGAAATTACGCTGTTGTCATTAGATTACTTAGTTGTGATCTAAATTTAACTGCGATTTGGCAATATTTTTTCCTAAGAGAAAAACTCTAAGTCAGTCAAATTTTATGAAAGATTATAAGGTTTCATTTTCACAAATGTACATGGAGACACACCTCTTCCTCATAAAAGGCTATAACTTAAACTGAAATGAAAATTATCAAATTATATGATATTAAATCATGTGCATTTTACTAAAATTAAGGGGATGTCATTGAAGAGGAAAAGATTGCAAGCATTATAGCACATGATCCACTGTTTTTATTTCAGAAATTCAAGAAATGTGGAAAAATACGGTCAGTTTCAATTGCAAAAAAGAAAGATATGAAGAATCCAGGTATGTGATTTTATTAGTGATAATGCATGTATCTTATTTATACTGATACATGTACATTAGTTTATGATTTGTATTAAATAGTAGATTACAAACTCTGAAGAAATTATGTGTTTAGAATTAGAAATCAAAATTGTAGTTCTGTAGCAAAAAAGGAAAAGTAAGGCTCTTTAGTTAATTTTATATAAAATTAGCAAGGTTTATTCTGTGAGGAAGTTGAGAATTTTTCTGTGTATTTTGAGTTAACCCTACATATTAATTACTGTCCATTAATTTACAGGGCAGTACTTGTCTATGGGGTACGGATTTGTGGAGTTCCAGAGTAAGGAGAGTGCAATGAAGGCCATTAAAGAGCTCCAACACTCGGATATTGATGGTCATGCTGTGGAGTTAAAGATCTCCAACAGGACAACTCTTACGTGAGTAACATACAGAGTAATGCACAGATCTGTCTCACAACAGAAGGCTTAAAAATCCAGACAGGCAGTCTTATTTTGTTAGTTTAAAAAAATTTTGTCTTTTTAGATTGCACTTATTTCAGATTGCCAGATTGGACAACACTCTGAATTATACAACAAATGAAACAATTGATTTCAGTAATAGGCATTCAGATTGGAAATACTCAATATCTGAATAATACAGGTTTCACTGTACTTGAAATATTGTTAACTTTTAATATAATAAATCTGAGAAAAACAAAGATAATGGAAACAGATGTGGCATGATATTCATGATAACATTGAAATTTGAGCATAGTCTGATGGAATATAGTTCTCTTACTTTGCCCAATGTTTTTAATCAATCTTGTTTACAATTTTTTTCATGCATTTCCTTACTTACCTTCTTTCAAGGTTTTGAATATCTATATCAACAGTTTTCAATGATTTTAAAAAAATCTTTATAAAGAGTTATGTCCCTTTGATCATGACTGTAACAATATATTGAAACGTTGCAGTTTATGCTAAGGATCCAAAAATTCTTTTTCAGAAAGGAGAAACCAAGCACAAAGAAGAAACAAAAAGTGAAAAAGCAAACAACAACAAAGATTTTAGTGAGGAACATTCCATTTGAGGCCAAAAAGCATGAAATATATGAACTTTTTAAGTATGTGCATTGTTATTTAACAAGATTTGTTTCACACAAAATACAGCAGAGGCAATTTAATAAACAGTAATTGTTAAGAAATGCATTCCTTATTTGTGCCTGTCGAATTAAAGTTTAGGTAGAACATCTCTATTTGTGGATGACAAGAAATATAGATGTACATCTTGTTTTTCCTTCCACAACAGTAAGTGGATGCAATAGGGTAAAGTGAGTATTTATGTAGATGCCTTGATTGTACATTTACTTCAAGTATTAAATGGTAGTTTAGCTCTGCCATCATGCATATCTTGGTACTGTATATGCTGCTCAGTTGTACTTTGATGTTATAGTAGATAACTATTTTTTAATTTATTTGAATTATCTAAATCAGTACTAAGTGCAGCTTGATGCATTACAGGGTGTTTGGAGAACTGAAGTTTGTGCGACTCCCTAAGAAGCTTGGAGGGACGGGTTCACATCGAGGATTCGGATTCGTGGATTTTCTGACAAGACAAGATGCTAAGGTAAGGCCCAAGTTTTCTCCCTTTATTTTTTTTTTTTATGACAGGTATATAGAGTACAAATAAAGTTTGGAACTGAAAATTACCCAATCCTTTAGTGAAAAAACGTGTATCAGCATAAAACTTCTCTGTTAAAATATACGCAAACAAACCTTTTATCATTTCTACCTTAATGGAATTACCACCACAAATTATCCTCTTCTGATATTGTTTGCCCCAAGTAATACAGTCAAACCTGTTTTAAGAGGCCACTCGTGGGAGAATGACAAATTGGCCACATAAGACAGGTGGCCACTTATTCCAGGTTTCAATCCAATGAACAAAAGAATTGTGACCACAGTTGTGTATTTCTTTTCACACGTATCCAAATCCAATTTCAAAACATTTAAAAAGTTCAGAAATTTTTAATCAAATGAAATCCCTTTTACATTTAATTTAACATGAATTTCTGAAAGAAATCTGTTATTATTTTTTTGTGTGTGCGTTGGTAATTTAAATTTTACAGGAAATCATAAAATGTTCTAATAACGTAGCATTTCCCTCATACTGTGTTAAGTTTTTTTTTAGTTTTTCTAGATATATATTTATTTATTTAATATAAAAGATTAAAACGTGAGACTGACCGTTTGACTTGATAACCTCAGGCGAAATTGAATTGTAATTAATGCAGTCTATTGGGTTTATGTCATGAAAATATTCAACAACTTAATTTGTATATTAAGAACATCAATAAAGATCTTTTAACAATAAATCATTTAATCATATTAATTAAATCCTGACAGAATTCAAATTACACCTGCAATTATTGGTCATTAACTCATTATCAGCTGTTCATGTTTGGCTTCGTATGAGGATGCGAGGTCACATGACAGACGGAAGTCATGTGACAAAACAGACAAAATGGCCGCTGAAAACAGGCATGTTGAGCAAACGGGACTCAAGAACACTGGCCACTGGCCGCGTTAGACAGGTGGCCGCTTAAATGAGTTAAAATATAGTGAAAAAATGAACGGGCGGGATTGAAACTGGCCGCTCATGGGGAGTGGCCGCTGATTAAAGGTGGCCGTAACAGCAGGAGCGACTGTACTCTTCTACATAGCTATTTGTTTCATTACGCAGGGGTATCATACATATTGTAACATACATGTATCTTTTGAATGCTTTAAGAATGGAAATATGATACAGTAAATTTCGTTTAGTAATTAGTATGAACACGGATATTTTCATGTCACAGATATAGCAAAGTTTGGGAAGTTTCTAGTATGCCGGTCCCCAGAATCACGCGATTGCGCATGAGCAGTTATTTCCCTTGCCGTTGCTATGCAGAATGTAAACAAACCGCAATTTCCCACTCGCTTCAACAAAACACATCCGATCGAGTGATTAGGGTTAGGTTATATAGTTTTTAGAATTGGGGTTGTTTTATAAATCCACTCTGTAATCTTTCTGACTTTGGGTTAATTTATGTAATTTTTGCTTACAAATGGCACTATGAGTGCCTTTTGTGACCAAAAACTTGCATGAATCAGCCTGTCAAATCGTGCCGATATCTTACACTTTGGTTTAGTTCATAAAATTTTTGCTTTACAAAGAACAGGAAAGTTTAAGAAATGAAGTTTCGGGAAAATCAACTCTATTGTCGAAACATGACGATTTTCAGCGCTGAGTTTAGGCAAGTTATTGTAAAAGCGACTTACCGTTAACTGCAGCTCGATATCCTGACCTCCTAATCATGTCCAAATATTTAGAATATTTTTCCTTTCAAATCGATAATGATGCACAATTCAATCCATCGATGACTAGTAATTAGCTAACATTTGTTAAATCCCTGTATTTCTCACAAAAATCACGCAATTTTAATAACATTGCACTTTGAGTCCTATCAGGCATTACGTCAAAACACAAGTGACGCATCTCATGAATATTTATCAGATTACGTCAAAAATTGATCATGTGACTACATTCCTAAACAAGGGGAGATGGAGATTTACTTCCTAAACAAGTACGTTATTTTACGAAATCTTTTAATTCTCATTTAAAAAACTGTGTTTAAAAACCAGTTTTTTAAACCAAATTTTTCACAAGGAACACGAATTTGGGGTCAAATTTGCAAATTTGTGGCTTCTTTTTCGATTTTGTCGATCGCTCACGCGATCGTCTATATACTGTACACCGCCTTCGGCGGCACCTATTTTAGCGCCATAATTATGGGGACCGGTATACTAGAAGTGTTCCCAAAGTTTTCTTAGATCCCCTGCTTTAAAGATTTAATGTATTTCTTATACGAATATAGTGAATTACGAATATAGTGAAGTAGTTTTATAGGTCCCAGTGACTATTATAATGGAGTTTTATTGTATTTACACATGCAGGTATTACATGATGTAAATGCTTTTGTTTTTATGCCCTATTGTCTCTAACCTCAATGATTGTTTACACCATATCTTTTCAGTCATGTGTGTTAGATTGTGAATACAATCATGTTCAAAGCTCAAAATGATTGAGGGCCCACTAGTCTGGGGCCACTGAATTTTTAATCTTAAAATTATAGAAGGCATGAGCCCTTTGGGTCAGTTGTTTTTTTTCTGTTTTAATGCATAACAGGATTTATTCATGATCAGTTCATGCAGTTAATTTGACTGGGTTGTGCATTTAAGTTCTGTCATTTCTTGTTCAAATTTTTTTACGCTGTACTCCTAAGTAACAAAATAAATATAAAATATTACTGTATTAATTATTATGATTTTAAGTCAGTCTTTAAAAAATCTACTGGACTACTGGGACAATGAATGTACTGAGTTGACCAATAAAAATTTAAGTTGATTGTCCGAGTGACAAATTAAAAAAAGTATTTTTTGCCCTGATGTTCAAATAATATAACATTTAAAGCAATATCAAGGTTATTGGTTTTTTACCTTGATAACAAAAATCTTATCTTAAGCACTTCTATAAAAGTTCTTTAAAAAGTTGTTGACCTTGTTAATTTGAAGTTGACATCATTATGTGCCAAAATATATCAGCTTTTTAAAAAATTTTCTGTTCTCTTTCCTTTTTTAATTTTTTTTTTAGATAATAAGGCTCTTGGGTGAGTGTTGTTACCCATGGGCACTAAATTTAGATTTTGTATTGATTTCAAGTAAGGATCTCCAAAATTGAAGTAAGTATAAAAGTTTGCATGGAACTTTACAAATAAAGGTATTCAAAAGCTAAGCTGGGGGCTAGTATATTATAAAGACTGTTTATGGAGTGGGAATATTCATGAACTTCATGATGATGTGTTGAAGAAGCCAAGATCAGGCTTAAGTTTGGTGAATGAAAAATATGTACTCTCTCTATGATCTAAGTGGAGATGTACATTTCAAACAATTCTTTATCTCTGAATCTAAATGTATTGCATAAAGTGGTGTTTACTGAAGTTTCTGTCAACATATACCTACACTACAGGTACCGGTATGTCTGTGTATAGTAAAACATATACCATGTATTTATATTGAAATACCAGGAATAAGAAATTTTGTTTTGCTATTAGCATAATTTCTTCTGAATCCATTAATTTCATAAATATGTTTTAAAACTATATTGCTGTGAGCATAAATTCACTTTAAAGGTGTATTTAGAGAAAAGAAAGTGTTTGTTAAGTTATCTAACCATGATAATTTTATATGCTGGCCCAACCTTTTTTTTGTTGTTGTAAAATCTATTTCTTCAAACATAATGGTTTATAGGTCATAAGGTCAGTTTTTAATAGTCATTTCTAGAGCTATCAAAAGTTTGCCTTTAGGTATAAAGTAAAAATAATAATAAAATCTTACCTACTGACCCTATTTATTATTCATTAGCTTGTAATTGGAAAACAAAATTGCAGGCCTGATCAAATTTCCTTCAAAATATTTTTTACCATAGTGGCTTGTTTTGTATTTTGGGAATGATTGAGCAATTTGGGGAGTTGTGCCCCTTTGACTTAGAAAAATTCCAATTATTTGGGGGAAGGGGGCATATTAAAGACAAGTGTTTCACAAACATCTCTTGTTAATCATTAATTGGATTGAACACAGGCATAATTGCTGATAAAAATTCTCTCCATAGGTCAAGGTAATTACTGATACTTTTAATCACTGAAAAATGCAGTAATGGTTGGTAGAGGTCTCACTGCATGATTGGAAGATCATGTGTTCAAATCACAGCTGCGACTTATTAAGTCGATAAAAAATAGCTGTTAGCTACATGTAGCAACTGTTCCTTTGGCAAGGTATTAGTACTTTGAAGTGAAAATTGTGAGTCCTTTGGATAGGATTTTAAAAACCTAAGCTTTCTAAATATCATGTTAGGTGTTGGCACGATTAGAATCCCTCACTGCTCAATGGCCCTGAGTGTTGAGTAAAGGTCTAAATTTGAAGCCCTTTATTAGTAAATGGTCTCTTTTATATGAGTGAAAAAAGTCTTAAACAGGACATAACAAGAAGTCTGTGAGCCAATGCTCACTTATAATACCCGCGCTCTGTTGTGAATGTACACAAGTTCAATTACAGACAGATGCACAGATGAATAGGAATTTGACACCAGGTTCATATAAAAATTAATCCAGCCATATTGCATGCCTCTAAAAGTATGTGCTAGAATTTCAAGCATCTGTAATGAGTAGTTGCTGAGAAAATTGCGACAAAAATTAGTTATGTATGAAACAGACAGATGCACAAATGAACAGGAATTTGACATCGGATTTAAATAAAAATGTATCCCAACATATGGTATGCCTCAGAGAAGGTTGTATTAAACTTTCAAGCATCTGCGATGAGTAGTAGCTAAGAAAGCTGCGACCAAAATTTGTTATGTATGAAACGGACAGACGCACAGATAAACAGGAAGTTGACATTGGATTTGAACAAAAATGTATCCCACCATATGGCATGCCTCATAGAAGATTGTGTTAAACTTTCAAGCAACTGCAATGAGTAGTTGCTGAGAAAACTGCCACCAAAATTTGTTATGGACAGCTTATAAGACGGATGGAAACACAAGGGTAAAACAGTATACCCCCCACTCCTTCGGAGCTGGGGGATTATGATAAAATGGAATCAATCAATTAACAATCACTGAAAATGTAGTATGTGAAGTAGCTCATTGATAGGTTCATGTATAGAATGAAGCAAAAGAGAGAGCTAAAATGAAACATATTGTACGTAAACTCAGGGTGGGAAAGAATCCCTTACAAAATAATATACTAATATAAGATAATTATTCTTCCAAGCATTTCATGATATACTAAGTTTTCAATCAAAACCTCTGAGTTTCCTAAAATACATGCACCGGGTAATGTAATGGCTGTAACTGTCACCATAAAGAAAGGAGTGAAAGAGTTTTTATTAGGGATGTCAACGAATATTCGAGTACTCGACTATCGTTCGATCATGCCGCCTATAAATTTCTTTAGTCGGTTATTCGTTAAAAATGTGTTTCATCAAAGTAATTTTGAATTCAAGGCAATCAACTTAGATTTGCCCATTTCATTTATTTACAGATCAATATTTTCTTATGTAAAGTTCAGGGTATGGTTTAACTGTTCAAAGGAAATTATTGACGTCGATGTACATGTATATTCCGCAAACGTGTCTTCAAAATCTACAGTTTTGGTATAGTTGGTGATTGTCAACCTCTTACAGTTTTAAATGGAGAAGGCAATTCTTTAGTTTTGTAGATACAAACTAAGATCTGACATGATACAACTATTCAGAAAGAATATTAATTAAACAGCTATTACAAAATTGTAAAATACATGTAAATTGGGGTCAGTTATGATCATAATTAAACTGTGTTTTCTTTTTCTGATATTATAATTTCATAATTACAATCATCGATTGTTTGCACAAAATTTCATAATCAAAATATATATCACAAGCTCTCGCTCTTTTTTTGTTTGTATAAGAGACACGCTTTAATTGTTTACAAGTAAAATCATTGACAGACATGTACAAATGGCTTCAATTATGGGGTACATGTACAATGTACTACTGGTATGTAAAAAGAACAAGTGAGAGTGTTTCACTTTGATATCCTCCATTTAGATAAAATGTGCAGCTAATATATATTTTGAAATTAAATACATTGGATACATATTGATGTACAGTTTTCATTGTACTACGTAAATGTATACAATTCAGAAATTTGTTGTATAATAGTGATAGCGTAGGTTAAATATTGTAAACTCGTCTGAAAAAGACAACAGTAAAAATGACGTAAAAAATTAAATTAAACAAATATTCGACTATTGTTCGACTAAAGCATCCGACTGTTCGACTAAGCTGTCCAAATAAAATTGACATCCCTAGTTTTTATAAATGACATTTTCTGACTGAGTTTGAATTAATTTGTTTGGAAGATCAGTTCAGTGTTGAAAAAAAGACACCATTGAACGAAATTCAAGATTGGAATTTTTAAAATCGATCAAATATTACAGAAAATTTAGTAATTTGTGTGAATATGTTTTGTTTCTTGAAAGAGAAAAAAAAAGCAGACAGAATTAAACAGTGATAGCCTTGGTTCAAACAGAATGCCTCAATACTAATGCTTTTAAGCTTGCTGTCTTTGGACATGTTAATGGAAAAATCAATCTTCTGGCACCATACAAACAAGTCATTTAAGTGATGTTCTGTGGAAGTTAGACAAACTCTCACTTCTTATTGCATAATCCAGTTAACTCTGATGATTTTATTGATTGACATTGGTTTCTTTTCTACATTGCTGATTTGTACTTGTCTTACTTATTAACCTCTACTAATAAGTACTAGTATGTTAAATTATATACACTGTACATCATTGTTGCATAATTGTACAGTAACACTATGAAAACCATGTATTAAGAATGTACACATGGATATAGTGTTGAACATTAAGTTCCCTAACTTATAAAGCAAGCCTCTTCATGTGCACTAGCTGGCTCTTAAACATGTTAAGTGTTACTCTATATGCACTGACCTAAAGACCAAACTCTTAGATCTCTTTGTCCATTTTAATCTGTGAGAAGGGAGAGATAGACAAAGTAATTTGATTTGATTCTTTTAATCAGAGAGCTTTTGATGCCCTATGTCACAGTACACATTTGTACGGGAGGCGGCTGGTGCTGGAGTGGGCGGAAAGTGCCGAGGATCTGGACCAGCTCCGTAAGAAAACAGCGGAACATTTCCATGAGGGTCAGTATCCTTAATGTTTTGGTTCATATTGTGCAGTAGGAGTCTACTTATATTATTTATAGATAAAAAATAATGTCCAATAGAATTGAAATACACGAAGCATTCCATGTTTTAATCTTCATAGTCCCCGCTCACTGATAGATTCAATGACAACCTTGAAATTGACATTGATATTTAGAGGCACTTGACCTTTGTAAATTTGCATTCACTGAATTACAAAACAGGAACAATTAGTAAACACATGTAGTTATAACTTTCAAGAGCTTTAAAAGAGAAATTGGAAAAAAGTAAGTATTTTAGGATTGAGATGGTGTCATAAAGTAGGATTTATGTGAACAATAATACAAATGCATTTTCAAAGCCCCTTTTTTTACTGACCTTATATTCTTCTTTGTTTGATTTTGATAAAGAAATTGAATTTTTTCAATGCAAAATATACATGTAGCAGTTAGCTTTTTTGGAAAATGCTCGAGTATTATGTAAGAAAAGGTGTCTTTTGTTATTATAGTTGTAAATAAAATTGAGTAACGAAGTCAGCGATTGGAACCTACAAAAAATAAATACAGTACAACCTCCCCCACCCACACATTTACTCGGGGAAATTGCCTTGGGTTTCTCCTCATTGTGGTGAAGCACTTTGGGCTGATAATCTTCCCACAATAACATTCATCAATTTTGATTATTCTTATATGACATGTACTATGCATATTTAAAGTTGCAAAATAATAATTTTTTTTATTTTTTTTTTTTATTTTTCAAATATTTGTTTTTGTTTTAGGTGGGCCATCCAAGAAACTGAAGAAATCAGCAATTCTAGACAACCTACAATCTTCAAATTTAGAATTTTAATAGTTGCAAAATACTGTGTTCAAGTTTTTAATGACATTAGTTCTGCTATAACCTAAAATAATTTGTTATTGTATTTTGACTGTATACATTTCTCAATGCAAGAACTTCTTAAACATAAATATCTTTCTGTGGAAAAATATCCTTTTCAAATTTATTTTTTCATATTAAAGCTTGAAAATATCGGGTAGGTGTTTTTAGCACCCTTTTGGTTTGCATCTCTGTGTTAGATGGTCAGTAGTTGTGGCATCAAGATCTTGAATTCAAACTCTTTGTTTGAAAAACATCAAACTTTCTGAGGAATTATAGATGGGGAAGGAGTTAAAAAATATTGGTTTCAAAAGAAAGGTTTTATCACAAAGATTATAAAGTGAAATGTTAAAACCCTAGCACAAAGTTTTCAAAAGTTATAAACAAGCTTAAAGTTTTATTTATTACAAATGTACGATAGGTCAAGCTCAAAGGTCATGATTAGGGGATCAAAACTATTGGTAGAAGGAAGGTCTTGTTGCTAGAAAAGGCCTAGCACAACACATTCAAATGTTATGGTCAAGGTAAAAGTTTTTCAAAAGTAGGTCAAGTTCATGGTCAAGGAAGGTAAAAAGAAGGTGTGGACAATGGAAAATGCCATGTAAAAAAATTAATGCTAAAGCAAACAAAAGTTACTTCCAGGGAATAAGTTTGGTAAAATTTTGCAAGTTTTTCAGATGTTGAAGTCATGAATTTGAAAGCTTTAGCAACAACCATTAAAAAATTATGAGCAAGATTTTTTTGTTTTGGGGAGGGGGATCCAGGGACCCTAAATGTATCAACTGACAAAGTTTAACAATTCTTAGCCAATTAGTATCTGAAATATTTTATTTCAAAAGTAGGTCATGATGACATCAGCTGAATCATCTGTATCTGCGCAATTCACTTATTCCAGTCCTCACGATTCATTGACAATGCCAGATTTAATAAATAATCTTTCCTACAATAGTCATATTTTTTTTTTAATTGTTCACAGTGACCTACTTTTTGGTTGACGTTTTCTGAAGACCCAAGATGCATCAAGTGACAAAGTTTGATGATTCTATGCCAATAAGTACCCGAGATATTTAACTCTAGCCAAACAAGAGATGTTTGTGAAACACTTATGCCCCCTCTCCCAAAAATTGGAATTTTTCTAAGTCCAAAAGGGCATAACTCTGTCAACCCAAAATGTAACTGGACCTAGATATTCATCTGACTAATATGTATAAAAAATTTCATTTCAATATGTGCAACCTCTCCGAAGAAAATGAATGGAAACTGCAAATAAATTGAGAATTTTTCAAAGTCCAAGGGGCATAAACTCTGTCAATTATGGTGCGATCATACCCAAAACATAACTGGACCTAGATATTCATCTGACTAATCTGTATACTAAATTCCATTTCAATTTGTGCAACCTCTCCAAAGAAAATGAACAGAAACTGCAAATAGTTGGAATTTTTCTAAGTCCAAGGGGCATAACTCTGTCAATTATGGTGGATCTGATATACCTGTATACCAAATTTCATTTCAGTATGTGCAACGGTTGCAAAGAAAATGAATGGAAACTAAATGGACCGACAGACCAACCAACCGACCGACAGACAGCAGCAAAGCAATATGCCCTCTCTTCTTTGAAGGGGGGCATAAAAATTTCAAAAGTAGGTGACAGTGAACTACTTTTGGGTTGACAATATCCAAGGACCCATGATGCATCCACTGACAAAGATTGATGATAATACGTCAGTTTGGACCTGAAATAAGTGAAGATAATCCACCCAAATTATGCCAAATGATTCATTTTCCACTGAGAAATTGGATAATACATAAGTTTCAAACTTTTAAGTGTTCAAATTCTACATTTTTGAAGTTTTACAAGGACATTTGCGACAACTGAAAAAATAATGTCTTCATTTCTTGGTTAATGATGCATATTTAAGTTCGATGTTGCGTAAATTTCATGTCAGTTGACAATGTTTAAACAAGTGTCAAGGAAATGGTGTACCCTCGTTTGGAAAATTCACAGAAATAAATCGGTCGAATTGTGTAAGACCCACAAAATTGGTTGTGTTTAATTCCATAGAGAGTGGAATTTTAATTTTAAACCATGTGGAATAAAATATAGATATTTATCGGTATTCTGCTGAAAAACACAAAAATGTACTGCAATTTTTTGCGCAAACCATTGAAATTTGGCAAAAAACGTAGCTTATGTAAACTTTTAAAATTACAATGTGTTCAATGGGTTTTTTACTTTAAAAGAAAATTCTCTCACACAAATGCTGCTTTTGTCAATCATGTCCTTTACTTTCTATTTCGATTATCCGGGCAACCAATCAATTAGTGCAAACCAATCAAAACGATGAGCACCAATTTCTTATCATATCATATGATGAAAATGATTTGTTTGGAGGCACATTTGTTTAAATTTTTAGGAAATCAGAAGAAAAATAAGTTTTGCCTTTATTTCTTTTTATTTTGAACACAATGGCTTTGTTCTTCATAGAAATAGTAAATGCAGTTGGGTGTGACATAATTATTGTTTTAAATTGTGATAAATTAGTAAAACGATGTACTTGGAACAAAAACAAGAATAATGGCAAAAGTGTGTTTTGTACATCTTTTATTGAATATTATTTTTCGAATTTATTAAATTCAAGTAATATGCGTACAATTAAACCCCAAAAGAAAGCATGGAACGTGGTGCAACTTCGGTCCAGAAAGAAAAATAACAACAAATATTAAGTACAACTCTGGAAAAAATGTACTTTTGTGGCAGGAAGTGAAACCAGTTTTTAAAATTTGATAATGATCACAAAAAGATTTTATTACATAAACATACGAAGAGTACAAATTTAGTTTGAAAGTTAACTCATCAAGAGTTAAATCACTGTATAAAGTTGGATTTTTATCCAACAAGACACAAAAATATTTTTTGATATAATTTGAAAAGAATCGGCTGTTACCATTCTATACAGGTATTGTTTTTATATATAGACATTTATTACAAGTGAACATTAGAAGTTTTGTTAATTGTAGAGGAATATGTTCACTAAAATCCCCCATTGCCTGATTTTAATCGCTTTTGTTTTATTTTAATAAAAATTGCAATAGGGGGGGGGGTCCCCCATTTGGTAAGTAATATTCGTTACCGATATGGTAGATTATCTACCAAACGGGGGATAAAGTACCATTTGTTAGGCTGTGCCCAACCTGATAAAGTTGATGATTCTAATCCAATTAGTACCAGAGATTTTTAAAATAAGCCATTATATTTTGAAAGTAGGTCATGGTGACCTACTTCATGGTTGAGTTCTTCCAAGATGCATCAATTGACAAAGATTGATGATTCTAATTAAGCAATGAGTACACCAGATATTAGAATATGGCCATAAATTTCAGAAGTTGGTCACATTGATCTACTTTTAATTTGACATTTTCAGAGGATATAACATTAAGTTTGACAATTCTTATCCAATCGGTATCGGAAATATTTGATTATAGTCATTAAATTTCAAAAGTCACAGTGACCTAACTTTTGGTCAACATTCTCTGAAGACCCAAGATGCAGCAACTGACAAAGATGGATGCTTCTAAGCCAGTAAGTACCAGATATTTGAATACAGCTTTAAAATTTCAAAAGTAGGTCACAGTGATCTTTTTATTTGACAATTTCTGTTGACAAGAGATTCATTAACTGACATGTTTGAGGACCCTAATCCAATCAGTGCTGGCAATATTTAAATATAGCCATAGAATTTCATAAGTAGGTCATGGTGACCTACTCTTTGGATCATGTTCTCTCAAGACCCAGAATGTATCAATTCACAATGCCAGTAATACCCAAGATATTTATATTATAGCCATTTCAAATTTGAGTTGAAGGATTTTTTCCGACTTGTTACTGCCTTTAGTTTTCATAGTATTGTACACGAAGCTCCACCTCAATGGCTTTCCATGACTTGTGAGCATCTTCGTATATTACAGCCCTTGGAAGCATCCATAGAATGACAGCTAATTTGAGCTAAATAATGACAAAATATCAAACAGAAAAAGAAACTGATAGATTCAGATATGCTGCACTCTAAAGCAACGAAAATGAAAATCAAAACAATTGTAGTAATTTACTAGTTAATGTATTTACTTTCAACTCCCAATATTGGCACCACCTGAACAACACAAATCCAAAGAGTATTCTGAAAGGACACTAGTGTACAAATATAGATAAAACAAACCTATGGGCCTTGCACATTGTGATTGAAATATTTTCCTTTGTCAATTGTTACATGTAATTTCAGGTCCAACTTTATAGAACTCCATTTTTGAATTACACATTTTTTTTCATTGTTATTGACCTTTCAATTGCACTTTCAATTGCACATTTTAATTATATTTTATAATCAATGTATATTAAAGGGAGTAACATTTCCTCAATGCTCAGGAAATACCTAACCCAAGCACCCAGGCCCCAATTTCAATGGTCAAATTATGTATTCACAAAAATTTCTAATTTGCACTTTTCAAGGTAGATGCTCAGGATCAGAAAGGATTTATGAATAATGTTAACTATTTGACCAAGATTATACATAACTCGGATTAACTCCAACACCAGAATTCTTTACCCTGGAGCAAAAATTTTTTCCATATTTCTGTAGAGGGTTTCACTATCGACAGTCCGACTGCTTAACAATATAAACTAGAACTGTCCAAACGGGACAAAATACCCCCCGCTGGGTTTTTCAGAGGTAAGTTTTTCCATAATAAAGATATATGTATCACACATGAATTATGAAATTTTTCTTCCATTGACCTTGAAGTTCCCCAAATGACCTTGGGTCAAGGTCATGACACACCCTTGGGTCATGGGCAATCTTTGTGTGAAATGAGAACCTACCAAGTTTATCCATAAGAAAGATATGGACCAGACACAAATTATGAATTTCACTTCCAGTGACCTTGAACTTCTCGAAATTATTACCTTGGATCAAGGTCATGACACACCCTAAGGTCAAGGGCAATCTTTGTGTGAAATGGGAACCTACCAAATTTATCCATAAGAAAGATATGGACTGGACACGAATTATGAACTTTTTCTTCCAGTGACCTTGAATTTCCCCAAATGACCTTGGGTCAAGGTCATGACACACCCTTGGGTCATGGGCAATCTTTTCATGAAATAAGAACCTACCAAGTTTATCCATAAAAAAGATGTAGACCAGACACGAATAATTAAATTTTTCTTCCAGTGACCTTGAACTTCCCCAAATGACCTTGAGTCAAGGTCATGACACACCCTTGGGTCATGGGCAATCTTTTGTGTGGAGTAGATATAGATTATGAACTTTTTCTTCCAGTGACCTTGAACTTCCCCAAATGACCTTGGGTCAAGGTCATGACACACCCTTAGGTCATGGGCAATCTTTGTGTGGATATGGACTGGACACGTTTGCACAGACAGCTAGACAGACAGACAAGGTGATTCCTATATACCCCCCCAAACTTCGTTTGTGGGGGGTATAATAAAATCAGACTTGTATTTTTGCTTCTCTTATATATACTTCAATATGCAGTGGACCTTCAGATATCCGGATGCTTCAGTATCCGTACAACTTTTCATTAGAACAAACTTTTTTTAAAGTTATTGTCTTGTTTAACAATAACTGGTAAATCAGATATCCGGATGCTTCACATACCCACACAAGTTGACCAGGAACCAAAGCGTTCGGATTAATGAGGCTCCACTGTACTGTTTCATTAAAGTATGGAGAAGTCAATTTTATGAATGACTGTTGTAACATAAAAATTGAAGTCTAATTTTAACTAAATTGATAGCATGCAAGAGTCTCATAGTAAGAATGATTTTTGAAGATTTGCTTTTTGCCTCATGTGTCAAGCCACTAAATTCCTAATTTTTTGGACCGCATTACCACAAGAGGCCAAATACTGTTGTGTAAGTATCCAGAAAAACAAAAATGTGTAGGTTTATATGCAACAAAAAGATAGCATTTCACTCCATTTCCAAATAGCATTTTGTAATTTTGCACCACAGGCACTTGTTTCGTATACAGGGCACCCCCTATAAGTAGGGGTACCACTATAAAGTAGGGGTTCTGTGTGTACGAAACAAGTACCTGCATTGCACCCCTAAAAAGCCCCTGCTGTTGGAAAACTGAATAATTGTAGAAAGTACTTTCTAAGGGTATTAACAGTTACAAGACTGTGTCCTCCTGAAGTATTCTTCATATTATTATAATAAAACCCTAACATCTGCTGTTTATTAGCACTCTTTACTGTTAAAAGCAAGACACTTTACAAAAGATATATTGGGGAAAATATCTAGAATAAACTAGGTATAAATCTATCCACTTTTTATTGTGATTAAGACTTCTTCAAACTTGTGAGATTTTAATGTCACAACACCAGACAAGACATTTTAAAACAGCAAAGGCCGAAATCAACAATATACTAGAGCACAGATTCATATACGATAGTTGGATTTATTGTTCCAGAATTGGTGATGTCTGAGACACTGACAATATTCTCCTTTCTTGAAGACCTTTGGCTTTCTTGGCAATCTTAGATGTCAGTCCATCTTCCTGCATTGCCAGAGCTAGGAACCCACCAATCAGGAAATATTTAAAATTCACAATAGAAATATAGAAATCAAGCACATTTTTCTTCAAGATCAAATATGCCTTTTACACAATGAAACACAACTAATACTGACAAATTCCATTCTTAAATAATAAAATAGTACTACAATCAGCTCTCCATACATAAAAAAAATGTGCACTAAGTGTTCTAAACTATAACAATATTAATAAGAATCATCAAAAGTTAGCAACATTTAATAATAATAATAAATATAAGTCCAAGCGACAGATTTCAAATCCTGGCATCCCCAATCCCCATTTTACTCAAATGTTAAAATATTATTAAAGTCAAACACTTTGAATGCTTTTCTATTACAACCAATCACATAGATATAAAAATCTGTTACAATATTTAATTCCATCACAACTGCTTTCAACTTTTTCACTTATACATGCTGTGTATTTCAAGTTAGGTAAAAATGACACAAAGATGAAAACTGGTCTTTGATTACACTCCATTTTTTTTTTTAAATAACCCTATGTGAATAAATATGTCTGGTAATTCCCAAAACTATTAACCAAAGATAAACCAATCCTTGCATTTCCTACCATGCAAACAAAGAAATAATAGAGAATTTCATAAACAGGTAAGGTACAAAGTTATAATCATGCTCCTCTCATATTACATAAAATGAACAGACATTGGGTTCTTTACTGTAGGTGTTAAAGGCCTAGAAAACATTTTCCTAAAGTGATAAGGATGGTTAGGATCTTGTAAGATCAAAGTACAGGGTTATAGAAAAAGAGCAGATATCTAACTGATCATATGTATCACAATAGTGTAAATTCCCTAACAACATGCAACTGTTATTTTCTCCTTAATTGATGTCTGTCCAATACATGAATGGAACATGATCAGTGAATGAATGATATACGTCCACACAGCTCAGCACATCAAGTGTCCAATGGCCATGTTGACTATGTCCAGTATCTTATCACTTCTACTACTACAGGTCCGATTATGATTCCTCTTGCTCTACATCCTGCAATTGCTCCCCTCCTCTTTGTTCACTATCTGTTTAAGCATAAATACATAATCATTGTTAATGATATTTCATAATTTTGATCTTCTTGGCCATTTACTGTGGCAAAAAAGACCTTTCAGTTAACATTTCATCTAATACATTATCAGGGACCAACCTGTTCACTATCTGATCATTATAAAACTTTTTAAAAATAAACACATAGTCTATATTGTTAGTAAAAATAATTTTAAAAAGGGAAAAAGAATCTGAATTTTCTTCCAATTACAAGGTACATGTATATCTAGCCAAAAAAAAAAAAAATGACAAAGTTTTTTTTCATTTCTTGCATAATATGCACATTGAATTAACTTTTAAATCCTATCATTTCATTTAAAATTTTCAGCCTCATTGTGTTGTCATAATTTTGTTACAAAATTTGTTTTATGATGATATCTTCAGAATCATCAATAACAGCAATGAATTAATTATTTAAAGCTGTTTTGCGTTTGGTTGTGACTTGTAACAATCTTGCAAAATTTGAAGGAAACAGGTGCAAGTGTCCTGCTGTTTCGTTTATTTCAGCAGTAATAAAACAAGATTTATAAACTACTGACGATTCTACCATGTTTGTTAATAGATATTTTATGATTTTCAATAAAGGTTAATTTTGCAAATGTTAAGGCGACTTAAACTTCGCTTTCATGATAAATTACGGCGAAGTTTGGAGCCCAAAAGCGACTATTTCGCCTCAGTCGCCCCCTAGGCTGGTCCTTGCATTATGATGATATCTTCAGAATCATCATGCAATGAACAAAATGACGTCTTGCAAAATTTGAAGGAGACATTGTATAAAGGGGAAAATAATACTGCATCTTTCCAATGCAATACACAGTTTGTCTTGATTTTAGTCTTTAAAGGCTCCAATCAATTATATATATTTCAATAATCTTTGAAGAATTTGGTCAATGTTGAAGTATTAAAACTCCTTACACAATAAACATACAGACAAATCTTTTTATCTCAACATCAACTGGACAACGAAATAGAAGCTGCGACTTCCAAATCAGTTTTAGATATCCATGGGAATAGAGATATATTTCAATGCAATCAGCCAAAGAGAAATTTTTAATGACACCCTGTTATTTGTTGTATGTTGTACATTTACATCTTTCTATGTTGTACATTTTATTAACATTAGTCATGCACTTCACTGAACTTAAATAAACAAGAGATGTTTGTAAACACTTATGCCCCCCTCCCTCAAATTGGAATTTTTTTGTAAGTCCAAGGGGCATAATTCTGTCAAAAATGGTACGATTGTACCCAAAACAGAACTTGACGTAGATAATCATCTGATTAATCTGTATATTAAATTTCATCTCAGTATGTGCAACATTTGCAAAGAAAATGAAAGGAAACTGCAAATAATATTGAATTTTTTTTTCAAACTCCAAGGGGCATAACTCTGTCAAAAATGGTGCAATCGTACCCAGAACAGAACTTGGCCTAGATATTCATGTGATATATATGTATACCAAATTTGATTTCAGTATGTGCAACGGTTGCAAAGAAAATGAGCGGAAACTGCAAATAATTGAAATTTTTCCAAGTCCAAGGGGCATAACTCTGTCAAAAATGGTGCGATCGTACCCAAAACAGAACTTGGCCTAGATATTCATGTGATATATCTGTATACCAAATTTGATTTCAGTATGTGCAACGGTTATGAAGAAAATGTACGGAAACTAAATGGACCTACAGACAGCAGCAAAGCAATATGCCCTTCCTTCTTCGAAGGGGGGCATAATGAATCATTATCTTAAAGGTAAGATTAGAACAAACTTGACCCAAAAATGAATCAAACATCAAATGGAAGACACAAAGTACAATTCACTTGCATCATAATTAGACATTTCATCACTATTCAATAATATTATTACACTAGAAAAAAATAATTTATGCATTATACTTTAAACCAACCAAGAGTTCGACAATTCAAAATTAGAAAAAAAAGCCACTCTTACCTTCACCTTGCATATCAGAGGTCCATAGGGTTAAATTATCTCTTAATAACTGCATTATCAATGTTGAATCTTTATAGCTTTCTTCACTTAAGCTATCCAGTTCAGCAATGGCATCATCGAAAGCAGCCTTGGCCAACCTACAAGCCCGGTCTGGGGAATTTAGGATCTCATAATAGAACACAGAAAAGTTCAAAGCTAATCCTAGTCGAATTGGGTGTGTGGGTTGAAGATCAGCCATTGCTATATCACTAGCAGCCTTGTAAGCGACTAAACTAGATTCTGCAGCATCCTTCCTGTCTGTTCCAGTGGCGAATTCTGCAAGATATCGGTGGTAATCTCCCTTCCTGCAAACACAAGCATTAGATATGTCAAGCACAGTCTTTTCCTTTCGCAGAATATAGAGTGAATTTATATTTCAAAGCATCTAATTAACTTTGCAGTACATTTTTACTGCTATACCTTGAATGTATAGACTTACATTTTATAGTAGAAAACTCTTGATTCACCAGTGGTTGCAGATGAAATTAGATGATTATCAAGGATCTCCAAAACATCTTTGCAGATATCTTTCAATTCAGTTTCAATCTATTATGAAGGAAGAACTGATCAATTGGTTGATTTCAAAGAGTTTTTACAAATCTCCTGCATGCCTGATGTTAAAATAAGTCAACTGAGTATCTTGAGACTTCTCAAAATATACTTTTATCAACTTTATCTTAAAATCATGAAAATGTTTGGAAATCTTTTACAATTTTAACCATAAATTTCTTGCATACAAGAGTACATAGAGAATGGGTTATCAACCTGTTGCCTGTAGGCTTTGACTTGGTTCTGTTTACTTGAATCGTCCTTGGATTCACTCTTTTGTTCAATGCTTGTCATGATTCTCCAGGATGCACGTCTAGCCCCGATGACATTCTTAAATGCTACAGACAGCAGGTTCCTTTCCTCTACAGATAGTTCAATACCTGACACAGCCACTTTCTTCATTGCTTCAACCATTTCTACAATAATTAAATAAATGCCATACACATGTATTTATTTTAATTATCACTAAGTAATGTTGCTGAAGGTTCCTCCAACTCACTGCATGCACATTTGCTCATATTATTTAGAGCTCAAGTGCACATAATATGATAAACCGAAGACCTACATGTATACAGTCAGTAGAAGAAAATGTATAGAATCTATCAAAGTCATTGTTTTGATCTATGTCTTTCAAATTGGTTAAAAACATTTATCAAACAAAATATCTTTCCACAGATTACATGTGCCACATTCTGTTCCATTACAGTGAATATATATCATCTTTCATCTGAGGCCAGACACTAATATGACTATGCATAATTATATGCTGACTGCCTACACTGACACTTGTAATTTTTCCATATTAGGCCTATGTTGTTAGTAGCTGAGTGAGAACATGGATTTTGTCTGATTCGTTTTTTTTCCAGGTTCATATAATACCACTCTTACTCTTTACTGTAAAATATAGAATTAACTTTAGTAGGAACAGACTTCCTGTTGATCATTGGATTACCTCATGATAATCAATGACGATTATCTGTGACCGATTTATTGAATACGAGAAAATTCTCGTAGTAAGAACATTGGGAATGGATTTTTTAGGAAGTAAAACAACTGTAGGACAATATATTGGTAATTATGGCTGTATGTGAGTGACAGAGACCATCCTTTTATGGAACTGACTCATTCAAGATGGCGACGACGAACATTCAATATCCATGGACACAGTTCCGCATAACACCTGCTTAACTTCGACAATAATTACTTATTTTGGAATGTTTACTGAAAATCAGAATGACATATATGATTCTGTAACCCTTAAACTCATGGCATAATCCTAGGACACTGACAAATGTTTATACTACATACATTACGCTATGCAAAAAACCGTAATACTCGCATTCCGATATTTAACGTGGGATAAGGGAGGGGTACGAAAAATACACAAAATAAAATAAACATTACCATCATATCTTTCAGCCTGTTCAGCTAACTTGGCTCTATAGACGTTATCTTCCCGATCAGCCATTCTAGATGATTGTTCTTAACCTTTGATTGGCACGGATTTTCACTGTCCTCTTCTGAAAATATTTCCAAGATGGCCGAAAGCGCCAAAGAAAGTAGTGCGTAAATTGTGGAGGTCAATATATTCATACGCCGAACCGCAAACATGTTCATTCATGAAGTCGTATTTAGTGTGTGCACTACTTTTATACCAAAATTTGACTAAATCTAAGGCAGTACCGTCAGAGTCTTGAAACACAATGTATTTACTGTGCATATCAAGGAAAAAGAAGACAATTAGAAACCAGACCTGCATGTTTATACGAGTGTCTCAAGTGACCAAAATATATTCCCACGCCCTTTTTAATGAAATATTTACTACAGAACGTGCGGATCCAGTGGGGTCTGCAACCCGTAACTTTATAGTATTTAGATATATATTGCAGTTTTAAGGTACAGACACAATTTTGCAGCCTTGCAGAAGGCTCATGGGCCTTTACAGTCACCTGAGTATCAAATGGCCTTGAAAAGTTCTGCATGACACATGCATAACTCGATCCTTCTGGAACATTAAGTACTCTGCATGGTCGTGACTCTACTAAAGGGGATCGAAGGGGTGGTAGGAGACTTCCAAAATTTTTTGTCGATATATAGTAAAACATGGAAACTATAGATACTTTATAATGTCTGATGACCTTTTTTGCTAGGTAGTATACCCCCATCCAATATTAAAATATGTTATAAAAAGTGCCTACCCACCACCAACCACCTAAACTGGGCCAAAATGAGCATGGCTGGAGGATAACATGTAATCTCATCAATACAGAAATTATTTCGAGAGTTACAACAAGAAAAAAAGAGGGGAGCCATATGCAGCCAGCCTATGTTTGATAAGCCCCCTAGAACCCCCCCCCCCCCCCGCTTAAATTCTTCCGGAAAATTCTGTGCTACCTCAAGTTTCAGAATGAAGGATATGGAGATAATGAACCTGTATTCAATATCAAAGTCCATAAAACAATACAAAATAGGAGTAGAACAAACACGGACTTCTAAAACATCAGAGGTAGGATCGGGTGCCATGGAGGAGTGAGCATCCCCTGCTGATCGGTCACACCCGCCGTGTGCTCATTGTCATGATCGGGAAATAACGGAAAAATCCGTCGTCAATTCAGTGTATAAATAATGGACTAACAATTAGTATGAAAAGCGTCAGTCAGCATTTGACTCAATGATAAATTGTGAGTATATTTGCTGACAAGGTCATTGTATCGACCAAAGAACTTACGAAATGATGACTTTAAACGAGACTGCTGATATTCTTGTTTCATCAACTTGTTTGTCAATAATTTACCTCGTTTAAGAAATTGTTCATACGTAGAGCATGCTCTTGCGTATCGAATCAACTGAGATATATCGCCGTATGCAGGTGATGAAGGTATATTGCTGCATGCATAAGTAAGGGAAGTTGACGATAGAAAAGTTAATGCCATCAAGTTTATCATAAAGCTTGGTTGTTAGATTACCATTAACGTCTTTTTCAAGTAAAATATCCAAGTATTAAACAGATGTGTCAGCTAGACTCTGTGGTATCTTTTATCTCAAGCTCACGAGGATATATCGTATCGACATAAGAATAGAAATTACCATTGTTAATTGACAGTGCGTCGTCGATATACCTAAATGTCGAGTTCAAGGCCGCAGCAAGTGTTTTCTTTTCACGTATAAGATTTTGCACAAATTCTACTTCATATGAATACAAAATTAGGTCTGCTAATAACGGGGTGCAATTGCTACTCATGGGATTCCAATAAATTTTTGGAAGACCTGGTCTCCAAAAACAACATAGATATTGTCAATCAGAAACTCAAGCAACTTTTTGATGTCGACTTCAGAGTACTTGTGTGTACACTCAGAATGCTTTTTAATAAAATAATTTTGCAAATGACCAATGACAAGTTGAGTAAATTTTCGAGTTCCATTTTATTGAAAAAGCAGCTGTCAAAGATATCGAAAAGCCTAGACTTTAATTTATCGTGGGGAATGGTTGTATATAAAGTTGACTGAAACGTCTTAAGTTTTTAAGCTGTTAATTTTGGTAAAATCTTGTGATTTCAAATAGTCCAAAAGTTCCTTGGAATTTTTAAGTATCCACATCTGATTTACACCACTTCTTGAATATATTGTTGCTAAATACTCTTGAAGTTTCTCCTTCACGACCGTTAATATCATAGTGAGGAGTAAAGAACGAAGGCTTGGTCGAACATTTACTGGAACCCGCAATGCATCTTTGTAAGAATTCTTATGAACTTTCGGAATCCAATATATATGGTAGTTCAAATTCATTTTGGTTCTTAGGGATATTAAAAATATTCAAATCTGACATATGATTTTGAAGAATTTCTTCCTTAGAAAGGGAACTATGAGTATAAGTAGGATTACCATTTGTAGAATTAAAACCAAGTTCTTCTAAAATACAATTTATATAATGAGCTTTACAAACAATGACAATGTTGTATTTGCTTTGTCAGCAGGGACCAGTACGTACTGATCATGTAATCTATCTAATTCTTTTTTCACTTCTGGATTATTGAATACAGGAGGATAGACGTTTTACATATTGCCCCTCAGTCTCTTTTAATACGCAATTTTAACATGGATCTGATACATAATTTACTAAAGTAATCCATTCTGACAAAGTGTCAACGTCTCCTTTTTCATACCTGGTCCATCGCCTGGCGTAATCTTCAACAGAATCCATAATATTTATGAAATTCCAGTTGAAGGATCGGGACTCCCTACATTTAGGACCTTTTAAAATACTAGTAAGTGATCTAAGATCCTTATCATTAACTATATTTACGTCACCTGTAATAACTTGTCCAGCAGGACTATAGAAGTGTTATAGGGTGAAGAAGAACATGAACACGATAACGCATATGTTTAAGATACTCGATATCCAGGCCATGTAAATTTTTTTGGTAAATTGAAAAAAGTTTAAGGAAAAGACATTGGTTTAGCTGTATTTTCTTAGTAAAACAAGGTGCAGTCTTTAAATATGATTTAATTATAATACATAATCACAGATCAGAATAGGGGAGTCATATTAACCGCAAAAATTCCTTATATTGGTATTTAAAAGTTTAAGGAAAAGACGTATTATTTTAGCTGCATTTTCTTGATTAACATAAGGTAGTAATGAATCAAAAAGATACATCGTGTATTAGAGGTTTATTGCAAGACCGATGCCCATGACTACGCTTACGTCTCTGTGTATGGTTAAAAAGTCCCATAACATTTACATTAATGTTGTTAAAAGTTTCAAATAAACATACAGTTTTGTGCGAATATGTGTACGAGATATAAGATGTTTGTTTATTTTTATAGTTCTAAAACAAAACAAAAATTTGTATTAAACAAAATTTATTGCAAGACTGATGCGAAATATGAAAATTAACGCTTATTTTCTCTTTGGAAATTTTAAAAAGTCCCATAACATTTACATTATTACACTGTGGACTGGAAAGATTTCCAACACTATCGACATTGTCATTACATCCATAGAGAAAGGCTGTCCATTGTTTTCTAATCCAAAATTCTTCTCGTCTACGGAAAAATTCCAAACTTTTACTTTGGCCATAACTTTTGAACGGTAGATACTAGGACTTTCATACTTCACATATGTATTCTTTGTGACAAGACCTTTCATTTGATACCAACTTTTGACCTTTTCACCTTGACCTTGGAGATTTATGTACTTTTTAAAAACTGGCCATAACTTTTGAATGGTAAAGGTCATGGCTTTCATACTGAACATATGTAATCATTGTGAAAGGACCTTTCATTGGATACCAAATTTTTTTTACCCTTTGACATTGACCTTGGAGTTTGACCTACTTTTTAAAACAAACCTTGACCATAACTTTTGAAGGGTTAGGGCTTTCATACGTCACCTACTGTATTTAATCCCTGTGACAAGACCTTTCTTTGAATACCAACAACTTTGACCCTTTGAACTTGGAGTTTGACCTACTTTTTAAAACTTTTGAATGGTAAGGGCTAGGGCTTTTTCTATGGCTTTCATACCTCACATGCAAGTGTATTCATTATGATAAGACCTCTCCATAGATATATATATATATTTTTTACCTTTTGACCTTGATCTAAAAGGATACATTTTTGAAACTTTAACTTTGGACATAACTTTTGAACATTTGACCTTGCTTGCTTACAGAGTGTTACCATGGCAATCATAAAAATTATTTACAGCTTAAAAATGCTAATACCTAGTCACTGTAAGTCAAATATTTTAACTGTTTTTCTCAAATTGTTGATTGATGTTTTTCTCAAGTTGTTGATTGATTGAGTTTGATCACCCAACACCTACCATTACTGAATACTCTGTGTCTTTCAGCATTTAAAATAAATGTATTCCAAATATATCCATGTTTACTACATACTTAGAGATATATTTCACAGATTTTTTTTATAGTATAAGTGGCAACAAGGTGGCATGTTTTTGCGAGAATGGTTTCTTTGCTTGTCCTAGTTTTAATTAAAGCACAATAAAGATTTAAAGTAGCTGAAAATCTAATTTTTTCAAACTTTTCCAGATGTAACCATGGCAACCAAGACACAAAGCAACCAAATTTTATTTGAAATAGTAGTATATTTTTGGTGTCCAAAACAATTTAATGAAAATTAGCGATTATTCGAAGCAGAGAAGTTTTTTAAAAGTGGTTATAGGGAATAGCTATTTAATTAAAGGCCACAGCAAGAGACCTCCTCATTTTATGCAGAAGTTTTTTTTTCAAAAAAAAAAAAAAAAAGAAGAAGAAGAAGAAGCTGCTTCATATTCATAAACAAGAGACGCACCGGGGGCCACATCGCTCACCTGGGCAAATCGGCTAGGAAAAAGCACAAATCAGATCAGAACTGAAAAGATTACTGAAGGGGGGGGGGGGGATTGAATTTTAATACTACTTGAGATTGCGTTCATATTAATACAGAATATGACTTTGCTGTTCTTGATAAAAAGATTTTTTTAAAACATTTTCTTCCTATATATTACTTCGTAATAATTTAAATTTGATTCCCCCTTGTTTCCCTTCCTATCCCAAAGGGCCATGATTTGAACAAATTTAAATTTTCAATACATGAAGATGCTTACATGTCAATATGACTAAACATAGCTTTTCTGTTCTTGGGATTTTTCCACCATTGTAGCCCCACCCTACCCTTTGGGGTCATGATTTGAACAAACTTAATTCTACACTGCCTGAAAATTATATGCTTCCATATAAATATCACTAATCATGGCTTTGAAGTACTTGAGAAGAAGACTTCCCTATCTAGTCTTATGTAAAACTTTGATCAGCCATTTTGGCCCCACCCTACCCCGGGGGTTATGATTTGAACAAACTTGAATCCACACTACCTGAGGATGATTTCACATGAGTTTCATCGTTCCTGTCACAATTGGTTCTTTAAAAGAAGATTTTTCCTATATATTCCTATGTAAAACTTTGATCGGCCGTTGTGGCCCCACCCTACCCCCGAGGGTCATGATTTGAACAAACTTGAATCTACACTATCTGAGGATGCTTCCACATGAGTTTCATCTTTTCCTGGCCCAGTGGTTCTTGACAAGAAGATTTTCAAAGATTTTTCCTATATATTCATACGTAAAACTTTGATCGGCCATTGTGGCTCCACCCTACCCCCGGGGGTCATAATTTGAACAAACTTGAATCCACACTACCTGAGGATGATTTACATGAGTTTCATCTTTCCTGTCACAATGGTTCTTAAGAAGATTTTTCCTATATATATCCTATGTAAAACTTTGATCGGCCATTGTGGCCCCATCCTATCCCCGATGGTCATGATTTGAACAAATTTGAATCTACACTATCTGAGGATGCTTCCACATGAGTTTCATCTTTCCTGACCCAGTGGTTCTTGAGAAGATTTTAAAAGATTTTTAGCTCTACTGGTCAGAGACCGGAAGAGCTTATGCGATAGTAATGCGTCCGGCGTCTGTCCGTCTGTCTGTCTGTAAACAATTTTTCAAAATGCTACTCCTCCTACAGTTTTGGTCTGATTTCAATATAACTTGGCACATGAGTAGACTACACTAAGGTACATAATTCTATATATCGGTTTTTGATTTCGATGAACGGTGTTGCTGTTACTAAAAAAAAGAAATTTCTGTGATTTTTTTTTTCAAAATGCTACCCTCCTACAGCTTTGATCTGATTTCAATATAACTTGGCATACAAGTAGACTACACTAAGGTACATAATTCTGTGAATCAGTTTTTGATTTTGATGAACGGTGTTGCCGTTGTTACTAAAAATAGAAATTTCTGTAAAATTCTTTCAATATCTACGTCTCCTACAGTTTTGGTCTGATTTCAGTATACTTTGGCACACAAGAAGACTACACTAAAGTACATAATTCTTTGTATCGGTTTTTGATTTCGATGAACGGTGTTGCTGTGGTTACTAAAAATAGAAATTTTTGTGAAATTCTTTCAAAATGCTACTCCTCCTACAGTTTTGGTCGGATTTCAGTATAACTTGGCACACAAGTAGACTACACTAAGGTACATATTTCCATATATCAGTTTTTGATTTCAATGAAAGGTGTTGCCGTGGTAACTAAAAATAGACATTTCTGTGAAATTCTTTTAAAATGCTACTCCTCCTACAGTTTTGGTCTGATTTCAATATAACTTGGTACATAAGTAGACTACACTAAGATACACAATTCTGTATATCAGTTTTTGACCTTGATGAACATTATTGCCTTGGTTACTAAAAATAGAAATTTCTGTTAAATACTCTCAAAATGCTACTTCAAATACAGTTTTAGTCTGATTATAAAATAATGTGGCATGCAAGTAGACTACAGTAAGAACATAAAGAGACTGAATCAAGGATCATTATTCTATTTACGAGGGGTGATCAAAAAGTTCGCAAACTAATTGAATAACTTCCATACAAGAAACAATATTTGGTTTTAATGTTGATTATATTTTAAATTAATCCTCCCCGATTTTAATGCACATCAACCACCGTTCTGCGCATGCGCGAATCACGTGATATTGGCGGTCACGTGACCCCCTCCGTAGCGTTCTGTCACAAAAGTTAAAAGATTTTTCCGAGTTTTATATTTCTTTCCACGTGAGTTAATTTTTATGACAAGAACAGTTAATTTGTCAGAAATGGTCATATCTCGGCAACAGAATGGGTGGATTATAACATCCTTTCCAAAAATAAGCATGGCGACCATTAAAACACAAATCTTCTGTCTCAGGAGAGACCTTTATTCAAGGTGGATAGAGAATGGGTGCATCCTTTTTAGCTCACCTGAGCCGAAGGCTCAAGTGAGATTTTCTGATCACATTTTGTCCGTCGTCCGTCCGTCTGTCTGTCCGTCTGTCCGTCTGTAAACTTTTCACATTTTCGACTTCTTCTCAAGAACCACTGGGCCAATTTTGACCAAACTTGGTACAAAGCATCCTTGGGTGAAGGGGAATTTAAATTGTTAAAATAAAGGGCCAAATTCCCTCACAAGGGGAGATAATCAAGAAAAGACAAAAATGGGGTGGGGGCATTAAAAAATCGTCTACTCAACAACCACTGGGCCAGAAAAGCTGAAACTTATGTGGAAGCATCCTAGGGTAGTGTATATTCTAAATTGTTCAAATTATGACTCCCGGGGGTTGGGCGGGGCCACAATGGGGATTCAATTTTTACGTAGAAATATATAGGAAAAATCTTTGAAAATCTTCTTCTCAAGAACCACTGGGCCAGAAAAGCTGAAACTTACGTGGAAGCATCCTGAGGTAGTGTAGATTTTAAATTGTTCAAATCATGACCCCGGGGGTATGGCGGGGCCACAATGGGGAATCAAAATTTTACATAGAAATATATAGGAAAAATCTTCGAAAATCTTCTTCTCAAGAACCACTGGGCCAGAAAAGCTGAAACTTATGTGGAAGCATTCTGGGGTAGTGTAGATTTTAAATTGTAAAATTTATGACCCCCGGGGGAAGGGCGGGACCACAATTGGGAATCAAAGTTTTACATAGAAATATATAGAACAAATCTTTAAAAATCTTCTTCTCAAGAACCACTGGGCCAGGAAAGCTGAAACTAATTTGGAAGCATCCTTAGGTAGTGTAGATATTAAATTGTAAAAATCATGATCCCTGGGGGTAGGGAGGGGCCACAATAGGGAATCCAAGTTTTACATAGAAATATATAGAACAAATCTTAAAAAATCTTCTTCTCAAGTACCACTGGGCCAGGATAGCTGAAACTTATATGGAAGCATCCCTGGGTAGTGTAGATATTAAATTGTTAAAATTATGACCCCTGGGGGTAGGGCGGGCCACAATAGGGAATCCAAGTTTTACATAGAAATATATACAACAAATCTTTAAATCTTCTTCTCAAGAACCATTGGGCCAGGAAAGCTGAAACTTATGTGGAAGCATCCTGGGGTAGTGTAGATTTTAAAGTTTTAAAATCATAAAAGTGAAGGGGGTAGTGGGCATGATAGGTATAGCAAGAGGGGGAATCTGGTAAACGAACTGCATCACCCAAGTTACTCAGGTGAGCGATGTGGCCCATGGGCCTCTTGTTATCATATCTAATATGTTTAAAATCTAAAGTAAATGATATCTTAGGTATTTAATACTTATATCATTGTTCAAATATTCAACTATTTTTCAAAGTGCTAATTAGAGGTCTTTGATAGCAAATTGCTTAATTAAAAATACATTAATCTTTTCAAACTTGCTTTCACTGGACAAGATGACAAGAATCATTTTTAACCATCAGCCTTCCTTCACTAAAACGATTAATCCAATCATTAATTGAATTTATAGGAACTCATTTATCTCAATAAACTGTTTACAAATTATTATATGATACTGTAGAGGGATTTCTAATAAATTGTACAGTCATTTGTTGAACGAGTTCGACTGAGACAACCATTTTTCGTCACAAGTGACCTAAATAGTGACGTCATTTTCACATTGTGATGTCACAAACAAGGAGAGAAACTTTATTCAGCATATTCTATTTACAGACCTTGTGTATGGCTATGTGTGTACCGAATTTCATTCTAATCTGAATTGTGGTTTTGTAGATATAGAGATAGTTTGCGAACTTTTTGATCACCCCTGGTACTGCTGTTGTAAATTTTCAATTCCCGACTGCTCAAGTACTTTTCTCTTCCTTTGCTTAAGTACAAACCAGTATAGAGCTTCAGTCTTGACAGAGACTTCTGGTTCCTATATATTCCTATGTAAATCTTTGATCGGCCACTGTGGCTCCACCCTACCCCCGAGGGTCATGATTTGTACAAATCTTAATCTACACTACCTGAGGATGATTCCACATGAGTTTCATCTTTCCTGGCCCAGTGGTTCTTTAGAAGAAGATTTTTTAAAAATGCCATTAATTTTTCACAAATACATAATTATCTCCCCTTGGAAGAGGATGTGGCCCTTCATTTGAAAAAAATTGAATCCCCTTCACCTAAGGATACTTTGTGGCAAGTTTGGTTGAAATTGGCCCAGTGGTTCTTGAGGAGAAGATGAAAATGTGAAAAGTTTACGACAATGACAACGACAGACAACGGACAAATTTTGATCAGAAAAGCTCACTTGAGCCTTCGGCTCAGTTGAGCTAAAAAACCTGGTGATAATGGGGTGCCATTAGTATCCATAGGAATTCAACAATTGTAATTTGCTGGAAGGCTTGATCTCCAAAACCTACATAGATATAGTCAATAAGAAACTACATTATAAATAAAAACAATTTTATTTTCATTATGAGCACATTACAAAACAATGTCTACATATCACAAAAGAAACTGAGGTGGTTGGTTGTTTATATATAAGCATAAGAAAATACAATCTTCAAGCTGAGAATACACAACCAAATTAACTATATTTTACAAAATAATTTTTGTTCCAATAAGTTTTGATAATCATAATCTACAATGATCTTCATACAGTTATAAATAAATACAGAATGTTTTCAATGTAGCACAAATAAATTAATATTAATAATCAAAGATTTGTTCCTGTTCAAAATCAACACAAAGAAACTGCAAAAAGAATTAATTTACAGTATATAATTCATAAAGTAAATATAATATATGGAATATGCCTGTTTATATTTTTTCTCTATTGTTTTTCTTTTTTCTAGGTTATAAATTCCCCACAGGAGAAATATATGACAAACACATCAACTGAACACAGCTAAGTTCTACAGTGTGTAAAATAGCACCAGCGTAAAGTTTTAATATCAAAGTTATGGGACTTGGCAATTGGAACATGAAAGCAAACCTCTATTCAGCACATACACCACAATTCTGACGCTTGTGGGATTATATATCAGTTAGATTGGAATATTCATCATGTTCAGTATTCATAAGGCAATTTGTTCTTTCAACTAGGCTTCCAGTAAAGTTTTTTTTTCCAAAATATATGTAAATTTGATGTACAAAAATATAATTACGTATAAAATGAACATTTGAAGCAATAAAAAAAAAATAAGGGTACCAAAACTTCTTTGGATAACACAAATTGACCTTAACAGCATAACTTGAGGCAGCCCATAATATCCATCTTCAGAATACAATTATCCCAAGACAATTCCTTAACATCAGACAATTAATCCTAATAATCTTGTCATTATGTCAAGTAAATCTTTAATCATCTCAGGATTACACCAGAAAATCCCTAGACAAATTGGGATTATATCATACAGTTCCTAGTTATCTGGGGAAAATAAAAACAATCTCTCAACATCTCAAGATTACATCAAATAATCCCTTATCATGTCCAGATTATATTACATGATCCCTAATAATCTGGAAGTATGACAACAATCTCAAATCATCTTGGGATTATATCATACAATTCAAAATCATCTTGGGATTATATGTATATCAGACAATTTAAAATCATCTTGGGATTAAATCAGACAACTAAAATCATTTTGTGATGATATCAGATGATCCCTAAACATCTTGGGATTTTATTAGATAATTCCTTATCATCTTGGGATTATATCAGACAATCCTTCAACATCTTGGGATGATACAGATAATTCCTTATCATCTTGTGATGATATCCGACAATTCAAAACCATCTTGGGATTACAACAGCCAATCTCTACTCATCTTGTGATTATATAAGACAATCCCTAATCATCTTGGGATTGAAATGATTATTTCTAACCACCTTGAGAATTTAACTTCTCTAATCATCTTGGGATTACAACATACAGTTCCTGGAACATACTGGGATTACATCAAACAGTTCTTGACAATGACAGGATTACACCAGATAATTTACACCAGACAATTCCTAACCAAATCTGGATAACATGGGACAATGTTTTACATACAGTTTTAACATCTGACAGACAATTCTATACAATACTGGGATTACATAAGACAATTCTTAAGTGCTACATGATTATAATAGACAACTCTTTAACATCATGACTTTGAGACATCTCAAGATTAAACAATTTTAAAGAATATATTCATCTGTGGATCTAAACATCATCGAAAAACTGACATAAAGAACTATATGCGGTATATTGCATATGTTTGCCCCCACAAAAGTCAAATTTTGAAAACTTCCTGAAATGTGCTGAATTCAATAAATTGTACGAGAAATATAAGTTAACAGAAAATGTTATAGTTCCAGAGCAGTGTATTCACAATTTCTGTTTTTATGACGTCACAAACTAGTCCGATTTTATATCCTTATCCAGAAAGAGGACAAAATGGACAAAATTTCAACAATTTAAGCTTTAAAATTTATAGAGCGCATGTGTGTTCAGGAACAATATTGACATATTTCATTGATATTATCATTCTACACATTATATCAAAATATTTATCCTGAACACACATGCGCTATGTGACTTTTATTCAAAATATCGATGAAATATGTACATTTTTCTGCAAAATTCATAAAAAAACTGAAATTACGTCATATTTGTGACGTCATTACGTACATATGACGTGATTTCTTATGAAATTATTCTGTGCTTTGAATTCAGCATATACTCCCCTGTTTAAGGACTTAATTAAATATTACTCCATCAAAGTTTGATTTTGGGGGGCAAATGTTGGTTAATACCACATATAGTTCTTTGAAACAAAAATAAAATATCTTTGCTTCCAATTTTTACCCATTCATTAAACCTGTCTATGATTTTGACATCAATGCATGTCTTTTAAGAACTGGGTGTACATTTACTGATTTAAAGAGGCAAAAATCAATTGTTTATTAAATAAAATTTTATAATACATATTTAAACAAGCAAAGCCTTGCTACATAGATCTTTATACAATGAATCAAAATAAGTTATTTACAATAAAGAAAAGCCTATTTAAAAAAGCTGTTGTACTATTGAATCTTAAACAAAACTGAGGCAGTTGGGTACAATTTGTGGTATAAAGTAATCATGGAAGATATTAATTTTGAGCATACATGTACACAGTGTTAATAGTACATTACAGAGTATATAAAGATATCTACTGTGCCATATTTCTTGTACCATATGATTTACTAATGACTACAACTAGACTACTTAAATGTTAATACAGTGTATTGTACACAACTAGAATAGATAAGATGATTGTAAGTTTACATGTAGAATAATTAACATTAACCAACTAGATCTAAATCTAATTTTATTTTTATCTTCGGATGCCTGAAAATTCTTTTATTCAAAACATCATAAAAAATAAAGTTTTCTTAGAAATATCTTGTGTCAAGTACACCCCTGAGATAGGTTAATAACTAACCTTAGTTTATAAAACATGTATTTAACATTTTGTTATTTTGCTTTTAAAGATAATCAGACTTACTCATCTGATGGTTAATAATCAAATGGAAGATTAAATCTGAAATATTACAGCTTTATAAATTTCATTTTATCCAACCATAAAGAAGCTTAAATCATAAAATTCAAAGATTTGTCATCTTAATTATCAAACTCTTTTATTTCAAGAGGTATCTTTGGTCCCCTTCCAAGCACACTTTTATTAAACATCTGCACATTTTGATTAACATCTGAGGCATTTTCATACATTGTACTTTAAACCATGTCTTTATACCTTTGTTATGAACTAATTTGGTTTCCCTTTATCTTTACCAATAACAAAGATAGCGCCGAGGAAACTTAAGAACTTGTTTTCAAAGTAAAGTGTGTTCATTTACATTTAAATCATTAACAAGTCATGAGTGTGTTGAAAGTCACCAAATTACATGTATTCAGTTAAAAACAAAAAGACATATTATATTTGCATACTTGAGAAAAGATAAAAGGCAACCCAGTAAAATACCTGTTATAAATGTAAAATTTATCTATTATATCCACTCATTTCTTACAATTCTTTAAATGTTTATCAGAAAAGTTCCCCAAATTAAGATTTCCTTTACATTTAGTGGTCATTATTCAAGTTTTTGAAAATTAATAACTTTCACAGTACATTTTTATTTATACAAAATATTGCCAAAATACCACAACTGTATAATTTTGAGATGTAATTAGGATACTTAGGATAGTGAGGTGGTTTGGTGCCGTTTTTGGTTTAAATTGTTCGAACTGTTTGGATTATTGTCCATTAACAATTATATATTTTGATTTCTTATAAACAAGGAATGCTTAAATGGCTCAATACAAAAACTTCAAAAAAATTAACAAATATTCTTCCTATAGATTTACAGAAATGATGTCCCTTCAGTAGATGAATTACATTTTAACATACATGAAATTATACTGACAACACACTGGCGGGGTTTGATTTAAACACGTCTGCACTGTTATCTTTGAATCAAGCAGATAATATATTGACTCAGTCTGAGTAAAACTTAATCATGACAAAAAATGTATTCAAAATTAATATGACAGACATTTTTAGACATCACACCTAAAAAGTCTTAATCAACTTTTCTGAATTAGAAAACAAAAATATCTCTTTCCAACACACATAAAATTCATTTAAACATTCTCATATTTCAATTAATTAAATAATTTATATTAATCATAAAAAGCTATCTAACTACATGAAGGCTAATCCACTTTGACGGTGGATTCTTTCTTGCGGATAAAATCGCTCTTCAGGAGACGGTAAAACAGCACAATATTCATGACAGTCATGACTGCTAGCCCAATGCTGCCGAGGGTGTAAAACACAAAAGGAATGAGGTCTTTGTTGATCAACAGCCATTTACTCATCCATGCCATCACAGAAATACGGAACGCCACAAATGTACCTAAGAAAGATTAAATATGATAGTAAACCAAAATATGGAATGCTACAAATGTTGAGAATGGTAGCGGTTCTGGAACATCTAATTTTAATTAGATTGGAAAATATGGCAGATCAGCATGACACAATTGTACTGCTGAAATCTGGATTTTTCCTGGATTTATGTTGGCTTTATAAGGTTCTTGTATGGACTCATTATTAATAACCAACTACCAAATGGCATAGCTGATAGTATAATTATATACACTCATGTTCACTTTAAAGGCATAACCATATAATAATTTTCCTGATTTTATGATTGATGTAATTTTCCATACCTAGGTTGATAATGCTATTAAGTCTGTAAAATTTATTGTCTTTTTTAAACTGGCAAATTTGTAAAATCTGTCTAAGATGTAGGAAAATACTGTTGAGCTCTATCACCAAGGCAACGACAGCGTAACCGACGTACATCCTGGATACGATGGACACACCAAAACAGATGATGATCTGAAAACAGAAAATAACTGTTACACTGGGAATAGTTATACCTTTAAAAGCTGTTTAATGTTTAATCTGGTAATTAAAATTAATTTAAATGTTGTCAAATAATTGAAATGTTATTTCTGCTGCTTGTTTTTTTCTTGCATCAATGTCTTTTTGACAATAACTTAATCTGTGTGAAATGTTGATCTTGCTCAGGTGAGCTAAAATGTCCTGAAAACAAACTATAACAGGATGACAATAATGGAATGATGGACAACTAAAACCCTGCTGGTCCTCAACCCAATTATTTTTTTTCTATGCAAGAATTCTATCATATGTTGTGCCCCCCTCCACAGTAAATGTTTACTGAGTGCACAAGGAATTTAAAATCTGAACAAACTTGGATCTATACTATATATGTAATACCAGAGGATGCTTTCATAATCATTCATTGCTACAGTATTGACACATACGAGGGGTGTTAGAAAAGTTCGCGGACAAGTTCTATTGTGAGCGCGCTATTTCCACGACTTACGTCAAGTGATTGTTCCGTGAATCCCATGACCTTATGATAAAAATCGTTGTAAATTTTCAAAATTTTATTTTATGGACCTGATTTTTTACATACCAATAAAGAAAATGTGGGAATTTATTCACACATAGGTCATACTTCACAGTACACAATAGATTTTTTGTAATTTAATGTGTCCGCGAACTTTTCTAACGACCCTCGTATGATTGAGAAGACAATATTTAAAGTTTAAACTTAACGATCGCGACCACTATCTTGAGCTGTAAATAACAGAAAAGAGATTACACTTCACTGTCAACTACGTTAAAAATTAGCTAGTATTTACCTTAATACACACTTAAAAAATCATTACATAATAGCTGATGCATCTTGTCCAAAGTGTAATTACCATAATGAAGATAATGAACACTATTTTATGAATTGTCCAGAATATAGGACACAAAGAAATAAACTAACAAAAGCTTAAACATGGTTGGTGTACCATCTGAGCTAAGATTCTTTTACATGGCAGTTTGGGGATTTCCTATCAAACAAATTTCAATATCATAAATTATGTACAAGAAAGTATTAGATTAACAAAACATTTTTTAAGTATGTTCCATCTTAATACATTTTTAGATCACCTGAGTAAACTCAGGTGACCTATTGCTATCCGTTTTCGTCTGTCGTTGTGCGGTGTGCGTCGTGTGTTAACATTTACACATTTTCAGCTTCTTCTCTGCAACCGGTTAACCAGTTTCAACCAATTTTGGCAGAAAGCTTCTATGGGTGAAGGGGAACAAAAATTTTGAATTTCATGGTCCCTGCCCCCTGGGGCCTGAGAAGTGGGGCCAAAACCACTAAAATTAGTGCAATCTTAAAAAATCTTCTTCTTGACTCCTGGACATCAAGCAGTCAAACTGTAGGTATGATGTAATCAGCTTTGAGTCATCTATCAAAATTGTGAAATTCATGGCCCCAGGGTCAGGGGTTCTAGTGCTAGGGTGGGGCTATATTGATTATATAGTGAAAATGCATTATTTCTTTGAAAATTTTCTTCTCTGCTCCTGGGTATTAAATAAACTAACTAAGGCCAAAAAAAATAATAGTCTTGTTTCCTGCGACCAGCCAGAAAAAAATAGGGTAGGTAGGTAAGAAAATTATTTTATTTTTTAATTGTATTTTATTTTTTCCAACGGTATTTTTAGATGGAGGCTTAGCCTCCGCTCTATTGGTACCGCTCATCTGAGGCGGAAGGGAATTTGCGATCGCCATCTAGCGGCAAATCACGTTAACTTTGATTAGCCTGGTCCCCAGGCTCATACTTTCCAAGGCAGGAGTACACGAAGCAAAACAGGGACAGGGAACCAGGCTAAATTTTGATAAACTGGCCTGCCTGTCTGATATCAGATATGCGCTGTATACAGACAGGTGATCAGTGATGTATAGAGTCTGCTGCTGACACGCTCATTGGCTGATAAAAACTCTCGCTGACACAGAATTTAAATTGTCGGGGAAACCAAAACAGATCACCGAGTGCAGTTCTCTGCATCTAATTTTGATGCAATTAATCTAATTCGGTTACAATATTTTCCAAAAACAATACATAATTCTTTTTTTCCTCATGAACCTATAATTATCTGACCTCGCCTGAGGGCTTTTAAATTAGTTTGCGAAGGTCCTATCACATTAATACCCTACATTACCTAGGTAAAAGAAATCTGCATCATTGTTTAATTGAAACTGACATATTTTAAATGTTCACTCACTGACTCAGCAGAGAGCTGCGTCTTATCTGTTTATAGCACAGGTACAGAATCTCTGCTGCATCTATTTTTAGAATTCCTTATCACATATTTCAGAAGATTTTGCAAACTATTTAGATGGGACAAACTGACCTACATGTTTCTATGTTTACATGACCAAAACAGTGGCTTGAATCTTACTTTGTGGTGTAAATTAATTAAGTAATATTATGGCTAATCTGTGCAAAAAAATGATGCATTAAAACACTGTTGTCATGGAATCTGCAATAGTGACTCAAAGTATGCCCACAAAAAATATATGCAAGGAGTTAAATTTATTAGGTTTCCCAAACCTTGGAGAGATATTGAAAAAGTGTCAAAGATGGGTGAATGCTTGTAAGCGGTTCATTGGTGGATCCAAAGGAGGGTAGGTTCCGGGGTTGGAAGCCCCCTTTATTTTTTGTCAAGTGGAGAGAGAGAGAGAAAGAGAGAGAAAAAACATTTTCCGAGAATAAATTAAAATACATGTATTTGTACGTCTAACTTATGTATTAAATACATGTAGATAGATTCTCACACATCAAGTTTCTGCCACTCACTATTCCCTTTTATATGAAAGAATATAGAGTATACAGTACAACCCTAGAACTCCCCTTTCAAAAATGGCTGGATCCACCTCTGAAACGGGAAGGATTTTCCACGAAATTGGGTATTATCCGTAAAATCACATACATGTATAATACTGGATATTAGGGTATCGTTGAATCCATGAGATCTAGTATTAAGGCGTTGTAATCACTTTATAAAAACTTAAACAATGGGATGGCACATTTTGCGGTACGTGTCAACTTTCACCTGGATGCAAATGTTTTCTTAAGGTATCACCAGTCAAGTAAGAATTTGGAAGTCAGGATTAATGCACACTGGAAAATAAAAGCTATAGAGCTTAGTACATTTTATGATCTGGACCAAACAGGCGTTTGTTCTGCTTAATATTTTTCATAATGTTTGAAATATTTGCATCCTCTTCATGTTCATTACCCAACACAACAGAATTGTTAATCAAAAGTTGAATGTGCATGTTTACATCTATGCATTGATATATCTGAATGCTTGTATCTCAGCTCCTTTTAGTCCTGAAGAGTTAGATATACTAAAGTACTTTTGGTTTTCTCACATTTCAGGAAGCTCTTACCATGAGTCACTAAAGAATTCAAATTAATATAGTTTATTTCAATTAGAGTGGTTTGTCCTTTTGATGAAAAATGGGAATTCAGTAAATTACATAATTAAACATTAGACCACGATAAATAAATGAAGAAGATGTATTTGTGAAACACTCTGGCCCCCCGTGTGGCAATATAGCGAAGATGCAAATTTAATATATTGGTACCAAAAGTATGGTATTCTTACTGGAAATAAAATTGTGAAATATGAAAGTAGGCTAAGGCTAAAGTTAATCCATAAGTACGGAAATCTCCAAGGTAAAGGTCAAAAGGTCATGATTGTTGGTATGCTATGAAAGGTCTTCCCACAAAGAATACATATGTGAAGTATGAAGCCCTAACCCTTCAAAAGTTATGAAAAATGATATTTTTTTTTAAAGTAGGCCAAACTCCAAAGTCAAATGTCTTGCTATAAAATGAAAGGTCTTGTCATAAGGATTAAATATATAAAGTATGAAAGCACTAACCCAAAACCTTTTCAAGTTATGGTCAAGATTTGCTTTATAAAAGTAGGTCAAACTCCAAGGTCAAAAGGTCAAAGTTCTGGGTCTTCTTACAAGGATTACATATGTACGTATAAAAAGCACTATTTATCCCTTACCATTCAAAACTTATGGCCAAAGTTAAAGTTTCTTCATAAGTATGGAATCTCGTAGGTCAAGGTCAAAAGGTCAAGCTTGTTAATATCTAATGAAAGGTCTTTCCACAAAAATACAAATATGAAGTATAAATGTCCTGGTATCTAATGTTCAAAAGATATGGCCAACTACCTTTAGGCAAATGTTGGGGTCAGAATATGAATAAAAAATTCCCAAAGAGACAACAAATCATGTTCATTCCAAGCCTCCGTCTATCAGTACTTTCAGTACTTTGATTTTGGATATGAACCACTACAAAACCAAATTGAACATGTCATAGCTTAGATAGCTAAAGCCATTATCATCTTTCAAAATGAAATTCCATGTCTTTGGATGCACAACTCAAGTGGAATTTTACGGAAGTCCATATTTTAAACATATATTTCATGAAATACAACTTGAGAATACATACATTTTTTTCACTTTTGAAACATGAAATTTCTAAAATTTTGAATTTTTTCCCCAAAAGCTAAAAAAAAACTTTAGGGTCGGGTGCAAAAAAATAGGGTAGGTCGGGTAGCAGGAAACAAGACTATTTTTTATTTTGGCCTAATGACCAAGAGAGCCTCTTGCAAAATTTTGAAATTCATGGCCCCAGGGTCAGGGGTTCTAGTGCTAGGGTGGGGCTATATACATTATATAGTGAAAATGCATCATTTCTTTGAAAAGCTTCTCTGATCCTGGGTATTAAATAAACTAACTAAGTACATAGTTATGATGACCAAGAGAGCCTCTTGCAAAATTTTGAAATTCATGGCCCCAGGGTCAGGGGTTCTAGTGCTAGGGTGGGGCTATATAGATTATATAGTGAAAATGCATTATTTCTTTGAAAATCTTCTCTGCTCCTGGGTATTAAATAAACTAACTAAGTACATAGTTATGATGACCAAGAGAGCCTCTTGCAAAATTGTGAATTTTATGGGCCCAGGGTCAGGGGTTCTGGTGCTATGGTGGGGCTATATTGATTATATAGTGAAAATGCATTATTTCTTTGAAAATCTTCTTCTCTGCTCCTGGGTATTAAATAAACTAACTAAGTACATAGTTATGATGAGCAAGAGTGCCTCTACCAAAATTGTGAAATTCATGGCCCCAGGGTCAGGGGTTCTGGTGCTAGGGTGGGGCTCTATTGATTATATAGTGAAAATGCATTATTTCTGTCTTACATTTGAACATTTTTAGTTTCTTCTCTGAAACCACTGCACCAATTTCAACAATTTTGGCATATAGCATCTATGGGTGAAGGGAAACAAAAGTTGTGAATTTGAATTTCTTGGTCCCTGCCCTCCTGGGGCCTGGGAGTGGGACCAAAACCACTAAAATTAGTGCAATCTTTAAAAATCTTCTTCTTTACTCCTGGACATCAAGCAGTCAAACTGTTGGCATGATTGTTATCAGCACTGAGTCCTCTACCAAAATTGTGAAATTCATGGCCCCAGGGTCAGGGGTTCTAGTGCTAGGGTTGGGCTATACTGATTATATAGTGTAAATGCATTAATTCTTTGAAAATCTTCTTCTCTGCTCCTGGGTATTAAATAAACTAACTAAGTACATAGTTATGATGAACAAGAGTGCCTCTACCAAAATTATAAATTTCATGCCCCCAGGGTCAGGGGTTCTGGTGTTGGGGCGTGGCTCTATAATGATTATATAGTGAAAAACATTACATCTATGAAAATCTTTTTCTCTGCTCCTGGGTAATAAACAGATGAACTACCTATATAGTTATGATGTGCAAGGGTTCTTCTTCCATAATTGTGAATTTCAAGGCCCCTGGGTCAGGGATACCAAAGGGGGGGGGGGGGGCTCTACTTATATACAAAATGAATTGTTTGAAATCTGCTCCTTGGTATTAATCAAACATTTTAGATAAGCAAGTGTGCCTTTTCAAAAATTGTGCAATGTGTAGACCCAGGGTCAGGGGTTCATGTGTGGTAGGGGCACTTCTGATTATTGCTGAATATTAATGATTACTTGAAATGCATTTTTTGTTCCCCTACCCTGCCTATGGGTATTAAGTAAACAAACTAAGCAATTGCTGAGTGTATAGTTATTATTAGCAATGGTGCCTCTTTCAAAATTGTGAATGCCATAGCATCTAGCTTAAAACATGAACCAAATTCAATCATTTGAAAGTTGTTGCATGATGCTCAGGTGACCTATAAGGCCCTTGGGCCTCTTGGTTTTTTTGGCTGTCAGTGTTATTTATGCAACTTTTGATATTTTTTATCTGGATCTGTGTGAGTCAGTTGTGCTTGTGTGTGTGAAGGAGGATATGACGATATGTGAGAGGGTGTGTGTGAGAGAGGGTGTGTCTGCCTGTGTTGTATTAATAAAACATTTACTCAGTTCATTGTATTTGTTACCTATTATCTTGTATACAGAGGGTATTTATAGGCAGTTTGTCTATTGGGCAGTGTTGCCCAATCTAGTCCGTTTTCAGAATTTCTGAATAATTATTGTTTAAATCATATCTAATGAAAATCATGTCAACAAAAAAAAGGTCCAAATTGTGAATTTACCAATTCTACATCCAACCTAAAACATTAAATATCCTCTATATATTTGTTCTACTTAGTTTTCAAATGTAATTTGGGTAATACTTTTACCTGAATTCTTTGAAGTTTTTGTAAACATATTTGTATTTAATGTTAAGTTCAAACCTAGCGATAAATCTCATAGTATTGAATTTAAATGTCCTAACGGTAGCTCTACCTATGAAACATTAATATTTAACACCATTCAACAGGCAATAACCTTAAATACACAAAGATATTACAGTGAAGTCACAATGTCAGCATTTTTTCACAATTCCTACTGCTTGCAAGTGCCCAGCTACTCTCTCCTGATATAACTATGCTATTTGTGCAGTGTTGTGAGGAAAGTTAAGTTTATAAGACTGTAGGTCGGTGGCCCTTAATTGTTAAGTGTATTCAATGATAAGTGTGCAAGTCATAGTTCAAAGGCTGTATGGGCTGTTTTACTGTTGCTGACAACAACAGTCATCTAAGTTGAACAAGTTACTTTTTCCATCAAGATATGACTGCAAACCAAATGAATATTTTCCAAATTCCTTTTACTGTATAAGGATCGAACCACTTAGTATAATAACTTCCTTATTAATTTAGTGTTTAATTTTTTTTTTATTACAATTACACCTCAGATATTACCCGAAGAAATTATAGGGTTCAAAGATTGACTTCATAAAACATGAGATTTAAGTCCTTGTGGTCTAATTTAACAATTAATGGGGTTTATCTGGCTTCAACAACAAACCCTCCCAGATAAAAAACAAATGGGGGGGGGGGGGTCCAAAGAGCTGCATATTCCACAGGCCAGCACCCTTACTGGGTATATGGGGAATTTTTGAAATATTGTTGAAGGAAGACAGATACCAGTTCAGCATATTATGTTTAATTTAAAAAAAAAAGTATTTACTTAATAAGCATGATAAGTATATACAGTCACAAGTAGACTAGAGAGTCCTTTTTGTACAAAGGTTCACAGATCTGCTGTCTGTTGAATTGAAATGTACTCACCACAACATGATGTCCTAATAATTCAAAGGACTGTCTATTTCTCTGGTATCTCAGCATATCAACACTATCATATATAAAATAACCTACAAAGAATATTGTACATAATATAACTTTTATAAATTTTGAAGACTTCATAAATATAGCAACACAAATAATTATTGTTAGATGTGAAAAAGGAAAAAAAAAGTATTTGTTATAAAAATTAAATCCCGCTAAAAGGAGAGAATACCCCCCCCCCCCCCATTTCCAAAAACTGCAACTGTCCCAATCATCCAAACATAGCTAATTCTTAGAATCTTTCTTCTCTTTTTTATAAATAATATGCTAATAAACTGGTATATACTTTTTTAAAACAATTTAATTGAAATCAAAAAGGTAGATCACACCTGGACATTGAAACTCTTTAGTGTTTCGAGAAGAGAGGATCCTTAAGATTAGTATTTTCCACAGTAACTATGTCCACATCATTAACACAAGACGGGTGATCAAGTCTTAATTCTTTTCAAGTAATTGAAATCAAACAAAGAATACAAAAAATGTTTTATTTTCTAGTAATTATAGTTGCATGCCTATCAATTTATCATCATTTCAGTTAAACAGGGGAAATACAATAAGATATTGATTATGTGCGATGTTTCTTTGTACCATAATACGAAAAATTTACATACAACATTGTATAATTTATTGTATTATATAAACTACTACATATGTGCACAGGATTTGACCAGTGAGTCAACCTCCTTAATGATTTAACTTCACATTTATTATCACAACATGTGACTATTAAATGTAAAATGGGTCCCTTGTTCAAGTTCAACGTTATTAAATGCATTATTTGTGTTAAATAGACTTGCCAGGAAACATAAAAATGCTTCAAACTATAGTTATTATTGTAAATAACTGCGACGAGAGCCTATTTTTCTTTTTCCATTGTCAAAATAACACTTTTATATCTTTTGATTGTGAGGATGGTTTTAAATGATTGTCATATTTCTCAACTTCTATGTAGAAAATTTATCATTTTAAGAAAACATTTCGTATCGGCCACGCCCCTACTGTGTATAAAGCTGTTATAAATCATAGTTTGAGGTACGGGCCCCATAATAGTTCTTTCATAGTAAAATCAACACTTGTGTGAAAATAAAACCGATAGGTTTCAGGGGACCAAAAATACCCATATCAAAGTAGGTCACACGTGTTTGCACAACTTGCGAGTTGCGTAACTCAAAAATTATAAATGCATAGTAATTACAAATGATGATATTTACCAACAGACACGCTGATCAAAGTGTGTGCTAATACTGTGTGAGTCTTGATCATGTCTTCTGCCAACTTTGGATTGTCGTAGAAACTAAAAAATATCATTAGAAATTTGAAAATAGATACACACAAAGTTTGTACTAAGTTCTAAATTATGATACTGTTTTCATTAAACCTACCACAAACAAGACCAAAACCCAGTTATGACTGAATGAACTAGCGATGTAGAAATGTTTTTCCATTTCCAAGCATTCTTTTCGGCAGCTTTGGGTAGCAAAAATTCAGCGAAAACACTTAAAACATAAAATCCTACAAATGATATGGAAACCACTGTTAATCCGTAAACAGCCCCCGAAAATTCCTCTGGCCAAATTTCCTTATTTATAAACTCCATAGTCACTTATTTCATGTCTCGAACAGTATTGAAAATGAGCAGCAAATCACGTGTACGGTCGTTTAATATTATGACAGAAATCACGCCAAAGTTCAGAGAAACGAGGTCACTCCTTATTGACAAACTGAATGGCGTCAATTCAGATGTACGGAAACTCCTTTGGGTAATCTAAATTTAACTTGTAGATATATAGCAGGGGTTATACACGGGCTTCACAGCTTGACCCTTCAGCGGCGTCTTATTCAAAATAGTTCAATGAATAAATTATGGTAAAGAACCATAACAACGATAATATGGGGTTGGGGTGGAGTTCCCAGAAAAGTTGATAATTTAAACAAGAGGCTCACGGGCCTTTTAGGTCACCTGAGTATCGTGTGACAACTTTCCAACAATTGAATTTGGTTCGTGTTTTAAACCAAAAGCCATGAAATTTACAAATATGAAATAGGCACCATTGCTTATCATAAATATACACTTAGCATGCTTACCTGGGTAGTTCAGAGTAACAGAAAACGCATTTTTCACTTTATAACCAGTTGCGCACCCCACCCCACCCCCAGGAACCAATGACCCTAGGGCCACATGGAAATTTTATCAAAGAATTTATTTCATAATAAATGGTTGATTAATATCAAAGAGCAGATTTCAAAGCATTAATTTATTTTCAGACTATGTACCCTGGAACCCCCCTTCCCATCCCATCCCCCGGTACCCCTAACACAGGGGCCCTGAAATTAAGCATTTTGGAAGAGGCAGCTTTCTTCATCGTAAATATGTACTTAGATCATCGGCATAATACCCGGGAGCAAAGGAAAACATTCAAAGAATTCATGCATTTTCACTATTTAAACATTAGAAACCCCGCCCTAACACATGCAAGAACTCCTGACCCAGGGGCCCTGAAATTCACAAATCTGGAAGTGGCATCCTTCCACATCATAACTATGTACATAGTTCATTGGTTTAATACACAGGAGCAGAAAAGAAGACTTTTTAAAGAATTTATGCATTTTCACTATAACCTATATAATCAAGAGCCTCAACCTAGCATCAGAACCCCTCAACCCGGGGCTATGAAATTCACAATTCTGGAAGAGGTAGCCTTATTCAACATAACTATGTACATGGCTAGTTTATTTGATACACAGGAGCAGAAAAAAAATTATAAAGAAGTTATGTATTTTCACTACATAATCAATAGAGCCCCGTCCTAACCCCAAAACCCCCTGCCATGGGGCCACGAATTTCTCCATTTTGGAAGAGGCAGTCTTATTCAACATACATGTATTAGCAATGTACTAGCCTAGGTTAGTTTATTTAATACCGAGGAGCAGAGAAGAAGAATTTCGAAGAAGTAATGCATTTTCACTATATAATCTACAATTGTATTTAGCCCCGCTCTAACACTGGAACCCATGACCTTGGGGAGTTTTGGAAGAGGCAGCCTTATTCACTTTCGGCTGGGGGTGCACGGCTAGGAGGCGCATCCCCTGGGTGGCGGATAGGGGATCCCTCACTAAGTGAGGGGTGCACCAGATAGATTGAAGATAGTGCCGTGTACCAACGCAGCATAAGGGAAGGACACCCTGACAGAAAATCACTGGTCCTCCAAGCTTGGGGGTTGGGCAGGAGGCCGACTACCTCCTTCGGAAAAAAAGACACAGAAGCAATGGACATTAAAGAGCAAAGAAGACCGAGTGAAGCGGCGACCGCCAATAGTGGCAGTAAGACGACGAGGGGTGAAAGCCTTCGGGAAGCCCAGCGTCCAACTAGATCCGTGTGACACCCAAACAAATATTCACCATCGGTCTCTGGAATGTGAGAACAATGTATAGAGGTGGAGCTTCAGCATAGATGCGAGAGAAATGGAAGGATACCAACTGGACATTTTTGGAATCAGTGAGTGGAGATGGACAGGAGCTGGGAAGATGAGACTTGCCTCGGGCTAGACCGTCATATACAGCTGGAATGAAAAACTACATGAGGGAGGAGTTGCCATAATGATCAGCCAGCAGGCAATGAAATCACTCATGGAATGAACACCTGTCAGTAAGAGAATCATAACAGCACGATTCTATTCAAGATACAGGAGAGTGTCGGTGATCCAAGCATATGCGCCACATAATGAAAAGGAAGAGGATGAGAAAGATCAATTCTATCAGGAGTTACAAGAGATCCTGGATGGATGTAATAAGTACGACATCATTATTATCATCGGGGATCTAAACGCCAAGGTTGGGAGTGACAATAATGGATATGAAAGAACTATGGGTATCCATGGACTGGGAACACAGAACGAAAATGGAGAAAGACTGTGTGAATTTAGTCAGACCAACGGACTTCTAAATAGAGGAACATTGTTTCCCAACAAAGACATACTGTAGATCACTTAATTTTCGCAACACCTTATTTTCGCGAGATAGTCATTGACTATATTTACAAGTATTAGCCCCGCTCTAACACTGGAACCCATGACCTTGGGGAGTTTTGGAAGAGGCAGCCTTATTCACTTTCGGCTGGGGGTGCACGGCTAGGAGGCGCATCCCCCGGGTGGCGAATAGGGGATCCCTCACTAAGTGAGGGGTGCACCAGATAGATTGAAGATAGTGCCGTGTACCAACTCAGCATAAGGGAAGGACACCCTGACAGAAAATCACTGGTCCTCCAAGCTTGGGGGTTGGGCAGGAGGCCGACTACCTCCTTCGGAAAAAAAGACACAGAAACAATGTACATTAAAGAGCAAAGAAGACCGAGTGAAGCGGCGACAGCCAATAGTGGCAGTAAAACGACGAGGGGTGAAAGCCTTCGGGAAGCCCAGCGTCCAACTAGATCCGTGTGACACCCAAACAAATATTCACCATTGGTCTCTGGAATGTGAGAACAATGTATAGAGGTGGAGCTTCAGCATAGATGCGAGAGAAATGGAAGGATACCAACTGGACATTTTTGGAATCAGTGAGTGGAGATGGACAGGAGCTGGGAAGATGAGACTTGCCTCGGGCTAGACCGTCATATACAGCTGGAATGAAAAACTACATGAGGGAGGAGTTGCCATAATGATCAGCCAGCAGGCAATGAAATCACTCATGGAATGAACACCTGTCAGTAAGAGAATCATAACAGCACGATTCTATTCAAGATACAGGAGAGTGTCGGTGATCCAAGCATATGCGCCACATAATGAAAAGGAAGAGGAGGAGAAAGACCAATTCTATCAGGGGTTACAAGAGATCCTGGATGGATGTAATAAGAACGACATCATTATTATCATCGGGGATCTAAACGCCAAGGTTGGGAGTGACAATAATGGATATGAAAGAACTATGGGTATCCATGGACTGGGAACATAGAACGAAAATGGAAAAAGACTGTATGAATTTAGTCAGACCAACGGACTTCTAAATAGAGGAACATTGTTTCCCAACAAAGACATACTGTAGATCACTTAATTTTCGCGACACCTTATTTTCACGAGATAGTCATTGACTCTTGATTAGCGAGAAAAAATTTTCATGAATTGTGGTTATTGCTCTCTATAATCTTAAGGAATACTTTTATACGCGAGAATTAAATTTTCGCGAGCACACTGTCTCGCGTAATTACGCGAAAATAAAGTTCTCGCGAATAAAAAGTGATTTACAGTACACAAACCAACATGGGTTTCTGCTAATGGAACAGCGAGAAACCAGGTTGACAATCTTCTCATCAGTGGACAGTGGAGATTTTGTGTTCTTGACACCAAGGTTCAGAGGGGAGCGGATGCCAGCAGCGATCACTACCTGTTGGAGACCCGAATCAGGCTACGGCTCAGCACACACAAGAATAAAAACAAGTTGAAACCAAGTTTGGATGTAGAAAGCCTAAAAAACAATGAAGTTAAATCAAAGTTCAATGTCTGTGAGAAAGAAATTAGAAGAGCACAGGGAAAAGACTGAAGATATCAAGAAAATTTGGGAACAGCAGAAGATGGTGAAGAGCAAAGATGGAGAGCTGCTGAAAAATAAAGAAGCGAGGCTTGCCAGACGAAGGGAACATTTTGAGGAAGTACTTAACAGAGACACTCTAGAGTCACCTCCACCAGATGAACATGATGAAGGAGAAGAGCTAGACATCTCGGATGAGCCACCCACTACACAGGAAATAAGGACTGCACTGAAGACGCTTCGGAATGGGAAGACCCTTGAAGCAAATCAAATAACTGCAGATATGTTAAAGGCAGACCTTAATAAGAGAAGCCAGGAATTGAAGCACACCTTTGACCGATATAGAAGAAGGAAAAGGTGCCAAAGAATGGACCAACGGACTGATCTGTAAAATTCCCAAGAGAGGCAACTTACAAGACTGCAGCAACTGGAGGGGAGTCACATTGCTGCCCCTAGCCAGCAAAGCACTCAGCAGGGTCATCATTAACAGAATATAGGCTGGAGTTAACCGCACCCTGAGGAAAGAACAGGCATGGATCCGGAGAGGGAGAGGGACTGTAAAACAGATCTCCATCCTCAGGAAACGTCTTTGAGCAAGTCAACGAGTGGAATGCTACACTGTACATCCATTTTGTGGACTTTGAGAAAGCCTTCGACTCGGTGCACAGAGACAGCCTTGGGTAATCATGAAGAAATATGGAATACCAAGAAAACTGATTATGATAGTCAAAGCCCTGTACGACAATTTTCAGTGCTCTGTGATTGATGACAACGAGACCAAAAGACCCTTTTCCTGTGATAACTGGTGTCAAACAAGGATGCAGCATGTTAGGCTTTTTGTTCCTCCTAGTGATAGACTGGGCGATGCAACAGACTGTCAGAGGAAAGAGAACAGGAATTAGATGGGATTTCACCACTATGCTTGAAGACCTCGACTTTGCGAACGACATTGCCCTATTGTCATCAGGAATGAACAATCTTCAGTCTAAGACAACAAAACTGGAATAAAACGCAAAAGCTGGGTTGAAGCTGAATGCCAAGAAGTGCAAAGTGATGAATATTAATAGTAATACTAGTAGTGAAATCAGCCTGAGAGTTGGAAACAGCAAAACCGACGAGGTGGACAGCTTTACCTACTTCGGCACCAATGTCACCAAGGATGGAGAAGGAACTGCTGACATCAGGAAGAGGATAGCACTGGCCGGTGCATCCTTTAGGAGGCTAGTTAACACCTGGAACACTACAGACATCAGTAGAAAGATAAAAGTCTCCCTCTTTAAGAGCCTAGTCCTCTCTGTATTATTATACGGATGTGAGACCTGGAAGCTTACCAAGACAGAGGAAAAGAAGATTGACATCAATACGACCAAGTGCCTCAGAAGGATTCTTAAGGTCAGATGGCAGCAGCATATCCCAAACAAGACAGT